TTTCATTTCTTTGTATATTTTATCTTCTTTTTCTTTCAAAAATGCAATCTTGTTCAACTCTATTCGACACATGACAAATGTTATTTGAAATGATTTTAATGAAATTTGATTCAAATGAATTATCTCGTGCGGGGACATTTCTTGGACCATTTTCTTTAACTTTATTTATTCTTCTCGTTGTTTTCATTTGCTTAAGTATCTTTTTATCAATTATCAATGATAATTTTCGACTCGCACGGGAAAAAGTCATCGAAGATCCGGAAGTATTTTCACATATAATCAGGAAATTTCTTCAATGGACAGGTAAAATTCATTGATGGAAGAACATTTTTAAGAAATCTTTGTTTTAGGAATGCGAAAACGACCAGAATGGGAAATTCAAGAAGAAAAAGATCAACAAATGCGTGAAAACTATTTGTATACAACCGATACACTTCGATTAAGAACAAATCAATTGGTCAATCAGATAAATCGAGTACGAAATCTCTCTTCGTTGCTTTTCTTTTAGAATTTCTCATTTCAGATGTATTTCAATCAACGAACAGCAAATGTTTAAACCAAATCTTTTTCTTTTATCATCTATCGCTTTATTTGTTGTATTTATCAAATATTCAATAAAAAGATATTGAAGAGAATTTTCTGTCTTCATTCACACTTTGATCATCTGTTCATTCAAAAAATAAATAATTGTTAATATAAATAACATTTAAATATTGAGAGAAAAACCATCTTGAGGGTGTGTGGGTGAAAATTTTTTTATGATTGAAATCCATAGAGCTCATAGAGTTGTATCTGGAACAAATATGATCAGAGTTGGAATACACTCGTGTGTGAATCCGTTTCCAAGATATCCGAAAATCCTATGGGCAAACTTTCTTAGTCAGCAATATAGATTATTGTTTCATCGGTGTAAAGTACGTGAATGAACGAACTTCAACTCAAAGTCTGTGTACACCCTTTCAGTAGAGGGAATAAACTTTTCGGTAGAAAACTGACATTTTCACAAGTTAATTTCTGTCATCAAGTATAACACATTGATAAACACAGATTGTACTGTCGACTAATTACTAACATGTAGAAGTGACTTTCTGTCTGTTCCCAGGTCGAAGTCTCTACTACAATCGAATCGAAAGTTTCGTTCCGAGAGGAATAATGGCAAGTTGCTTGAAATAATTTTCACATATAAGTATAATAAGGTTCGTCAGAGGAACAGCAGAAAACAATGATAAGATCTCAATTTTCACCAAATTTCTAGACGAATTTCCTGAAAAACTGTGCTGGCGGTTGCTCTCTTCCACGTCGAAGATTGTCTTGGATGCGACAATAATTTGTATGCAAATAACGAGATCAGTCCTATAGCACAGAATGTTGTTGATTCTACTCTTTTGATGGAGTGAAACGTTGCCATCGCTCATAACACTATTTTCAATAGATTGACAATTACTTGATTGAGTAATAGCTTCTTACCTGAATAGAAATACAAGTGAGATGATTGGTCGATTGTTCGATTCCATGGCATTAAAGGTTCTCAAATCACCAAACTTTACCAATAGATACATTCGTGATACATGATCTTTACATCATCGATCTTATGAATTGTTCACATATAATCACTTTTCTTGATATAGGCGCAGACTCGCACGTGACACTCTTGTTCGAATGAACATTCCTTTATTATTCATTGATATTGTTGTATTATACCATTATGTTGAAGTCAAACGCGACGCTCTTTAAAATTGTATGCTTGGTCACATATTCTTTACTCCAAAATTTCTGAGAGAATCACATATTGGTGGCATGTACATGACATTACTGGCAACAATTTCACATATAGATATTAGTTGAAAGAAGAAAATAGAAAGATAGAGTTAGCTGCTCTGAAGAACAACACTTTTCTCGCTCACGTTGTATCCTTGTCCTTGTTTCTTTTTCTTTTCTTTCTTGTGCAAAAACAGGCGTGTTATATCCTGATTTTTCTTCTCTTTTCACATGAGACATTTTTGTGTTTGCTTTCTTCCTAGAACTTGCTTTTCTCTTTTTCTTTTCGCATACAATAATTTTCTTTGACACGCACAAGGTAGATGTGATGATTTTTCTATTCAAAAGAATCCATTCAGAACGAGCTATTTTTAAAATGTGGTTTGTTTAAGAAGAACTGAATGCAATTCGTTTTTATTCTGTAATTATGAATAAACAATAACAATCGATTTTTCATACATCGTCATCTCATACGTAGATTATCAGGCGTTCTCCTTTTTCATGATGATGAAAGGAATGAAAAAAAATTCACTAGGTGAATAAAATGTCAATCTGCATTGTCATCGTGGAAAAATCTGCACTGTAATGTTCATCGTCTTTTCTTCGTTGTCTGACTCATACTCGTTCTCCTTTCGCCTCTATAATAAGTTCCACTGCGAAAATATTTTTCTTGTGAAAGATTGTTAGTTTAATTGCTAACGACTAGAGAAAGAGATTTTGATAATATATCTTATTCTAGAAGAAGTTATGGCAACGTTTAATGATACACTAGGCGTTGCCTCGACGAATGTGCCTGTCTATTCCAATGGTGATAAAGATTTCTTTTCAGTAGAACGTCATTACTTCCATGGAGTCTTTATTGGATATAAATGGCAATGCGTAGAATTCGTACGTCGTTGGTTGTTACTGCGGAAAGGATGCATATTACCGAATGAAAATTGTGCTGCTCGAATTTGGAAGGATGTCAAGGCAGTCGAACGAGTTACCGATGGGTGTCAGTTTTCATTGGAATGTCATTCGAATGGATCACCACGAGAACCGCAGATCGATTCGCTACTTGTTTATCCTCGATGTGACGCACTACCATTCGGACATATAGCAGTTATTAGTGAAGTTGGACCTGGCTACGTTCGTATCGTCGAACAGAATTATGAATCTAATTCTTGGTCAGAGAACCACACTCGTCAACTTCGATTAGTAGAAAAGGATGATTTGTTTTACATTGAAGATGAACATTCCATCTATGGCTGGATGACGATTAAAGATAATCACGAATTAGGTCCTTTAGATGAATCGAAATTGGATGTGATACTTAAACCTTATAAAAAACCAGTACCGATCGGTACTTTAGAACGCTGTTGCGTTCCTAAGGAGAATGTTCATGTTAAGGGCGGTTGGCTAGATAGAAATTCACCAGCAGAAAAATATCTGGTCGATATGTATGGTGAAGATCCAAGTCGAAGCATCGATGGTACATATCCATATTACAAGATGGATTTTAATTTATTTCTGAATATCGGCACAGCAGCCAATGAATCACATCGAATGTTTATGAAAGCGACTGAACACGTGATCAATAGTGACGATCTACTAGCACGCTTTGAAATACCTGAAATATTCTGGTCGGGTATTCGTCGATCGTGGAAGAATGATCAAGATCTTTTTATGACTGGTCGATTTGATTTCGCATTCGATGGAGAGAAAATCAAAGTATTTGAATACAATGCTGATAGTGCTTCAGTACTTTTGGAATGTGCCGTGACGCAACAAAAATGGGCGAAAGCTGTGGGACTCGATTCCAATTTAATATCGGGATTTCAAATGCATCGAGTTCTCGTACGAAATTGGAAGAATCTCAACATTCGGTCGCGTGTTCATCTTTTAATCGATAAATACGAAGACGAAATGATTACTGCCCTATATATGCAAAGCGTTATGAACGAAGCCGGTATTGAAACGAAACTATGCGTGTTACTCGATGATCTCTACTGGAAAGATTCGGCTATAGTCGACAATGACGGTCGTCAAGTAACGTTTGTTTGGAAAACATGGATGTGGGAAACGGTGTTTATTGATCACATCGATGCTCAAAAAGAGCGAAATGTTGACCAGTGGACGCCAACAGATGGTGATCATCCTCGTCTCAGCGATATTCTGCTCAACGATCGAATTCGAGTTGTTGAACCGTTATGGAAAGTCATCACTAGCAACAAAGCACTACTGCCGACATTATGGTCGATGTTTCCCAATCATCCAAATCTATTGCGAACTGAATGGACGCTTGCGGATGAATTGAAACAGAAGGGTTATGCGAAAAAGCCAATCGTTGGCCGCTGCGGTCGCAACGTAACATTACACAAGTCGGATGGTGGTAGTTTTACACATGAAACGACAGAAAAATTCGCCGATCGAGATTGTATCTATCAAGAACTATTTGAATTACCGACCTATGATGGATTTTACAATATCTTCGGCTGTTGGATCGTACATGGCCTATTTGCAGGCTTTTGTATTCGCGAAGATCAACGACTTATTACAAATTACGATAGTTATGCAATGGCATGTTGTATCACTCACAGTTAGAACTCTTTTATTTGACTATATGCATTCTTTTTCGGTGAATTCCTATGAAAAAATAAATATTGTGTAAATACAACAAAAAAGTAGCAATGGCGAGTTACTAATAGAAAATACGTTCATGAATGTTAGCACCATCAAATATGAAGAGAAAGTTTCAAGCATCATATACACTTTGAAAAAAACTGAAACAATATCTCATTTCTTCTTCTGATTTGGATCCAGAATGATCAGGTAACCCCTAGGCATCGCTGCTACTTGATCGTATGTACACATCATTCTCATCAGATGCTTCAAATCTAGCCAATGATAAGGTCGTATGGAATCGCTCGTATCCAGAATGAGTACTTGCTCTGTGGCTTCATTAAATCCAGCCGCTAAACTGAAATGGCCATTTCGATAGAATTCACCTTCTCTAGGCCATTCAAACTGTCGCCAATAATTGATAATCAAAAACATTTCGGGATTTTTTATATCTTCCAGAAATTGATCTTTGAATCTTTCTTGGTTCGAATGTCGAATAACTGAAGAAAGTCCACATGCTGTAACGATATTGAACAAATCAGTCAGCACAATTCCATCCGTCAGGTATTTCTTGGCGGCCGTTGCATAGATAGATGATTGCGTCGATTTTGACGATGGTAAAAGAGTGTTCAACAGAATTGAAGCGCATGCAATGCTACAAAAATCATCGCGCTCTTGAAGTTCAAAATGAGGATGAAGACGATCGAAAGAATGACGCAGCGACGTCGTAAGCAGATCCTGACCCTCGCCAGACTTTGCACAAGTAATCAACGATAGATACCATAGGTCTAGAGGATCCTCATTCAGGCTATGCGATTGGGGCATATTAATGAAAGACTGTACAAACTAGAATAGCGTGACAACTTTGACGAAATACAACGAAAAATGTGCCTACGTGTCAAGATGGTCTCACAGCTCCAAAACAAGTAGGTACATAGACACGTTTGGAATGATTTTTCTCTGCAATATCAAAGAAAATAAAAACTACTAAAGAACAAACTAAAAGTTGTTTCGAGAAAACAGAACGCAAACGTAGTTGTTATATGTTGCATATAGAAAAGAAGAGAGAACTAGCAAACGCCTGAGACGTGAAAAAAAAATTTTGTATTATAGAAGAGAGAAAGAAGAAAAGAAAAGAACAAATTCTCTCAAAGAGAATGATGGAAAGAAAACAAGATTAATGTGACCGGTAAAATTTGGTTGAGAGAATAAATCAAGGTGTAAATCATTTGCATGAAAGTAAATCTTAAGTCGTACGCTATGGAACTTTTGATTTAAATTAAGAATATGACATTCGTTCATCAGGTTTCGAATGAGCGGAAAACGACAGCTACCCAGATCGAACAATCCGGCACGGAAACGGCCGGTTCCATGGTATTCCGGAGATTTCATGGAAGCAGTATTCCCGATGAGCGGATCCGATGACCGGATTTATCTGGTTTGGACCGGAACCGACAGGAACATATCAAAACCGGTAGCCGGATACGGTTACCGCTTTTCTCCATCGGATTCCTGGCATTTTACGGGCGGATTCCGCTCAGAAATGGCGAGTTTCCTCAGGGATTTCGTCGGAAATTCATGGAATCCTGCTTTAGGAATCATCGTCCTGGGTATAACAGTACTCTCGGTTAACGACATCTCACTGAAATATTACAAAAAAGATGTAGCATGAAGAGAAATGAATTCTTTTTGTCTTTTGTTTATTTTGTGCAAATACTTATGAAATTATTGCCTTATAATCTTCAAATTCATCAAACATGAAAATATTATGAACAATAAGAAAAACTTTCAGTCTGGTGTGAAAATGAATATTTAATCGGTCTTTTCCCTTCTCCTAGTTACTCTAATTCTAATTATCGTGTTTTGGCAAATAAAGAACAGAGAGGAAAGAGAGTGTCATTAGGAGCATACTGAAAAACTTGTCGCTTGAAGAAAAATGTTTGTTTAATGATCACAGAGAAAACAGACAGAGAAAAAGTTTATTTTCCATGTGCATTTCATCAAGATGAAACATTCAGTTAGCAAAACGCACAGCTTGCTTAACTGTAACAATGGCAAATTGTATGATGAGAAGAGTTTTCAATACTCGCAATGAGGTGGTTACTGATCGAACTTCATCTTTTTATGAACTCGAACCATTTGACTCCATCGTACAAGCATTAAAATGGAGACAGATTCGAATACGTGTGCCTTTATGCATCAAAAAGACATTGTGCAATCGATTTATGCTGCCAAATCTTATTTATGTCGGTTATGCAGCTACTCTCTTATTCATTGACTTTAGTGAAAGTCTCAATGCATTATTAAATGACAATAATACCACAGTTCAAAGTACTCATGCTTTTCACGGTATCAATACAACACTAGCATCAGTCCTTGATCGACCCATACAGAATAATCCATATATAAATCGAATTTATTTCGGTAAGATCAATGCATAATCTTCTCGTTTCGTGGAATTTTCGTGTATTTTCTAGTTTTAGCCATTGTTAATATAATCATGGCTATTCTCCTCTGCTGGGCTTGGCGTGAGCGATCAGTATTTGATATTGTCATGATACCCGAATATTTAAATATAATTCAAGCTATACTTTATCTATGGTCTGCTATGTGGTACCCCAAACAGGATACTCTCGGTGGTTATTTTACGATGGCAGTACACAAAATTGAACTTGTTGCATCTGTTATCGGATTATTTGCTGCAATAGGATGGTGAGTAGAAAGCACCGTCTTTTATGTACTTTACCTCGTCGATTGCTTTCTAGGATTGTCTCATGGTTTTTGACGTACACACGTATATTCGGGCGAGGCTACACATTGGATGATCCAGATATGATTGCCACTGTGGCAATGATAGCTAATGCAATTATTTATCTAGTATATAACATCCAACTGATGATTTCACCTGAATACTACGAAAGTAATATGTTGTACAAAACTGGGGATATTTGTGATTTTATTGAAGCGTGTTTTTGTGTCTTTGCTTGTTTACGAGACGATGACTGGTTTTGGTTTCTTCCGATAGCTGGACAATATGGTATTGCATTAGGACGAGTGCAAGTAGAAGCGAAAACTTTCCCCCAGTTCGGCAAAAGTCCAATACTTTTAACGGATGCGTGTCGGAGAAGAACCAAAGTGAAACGACAGCAGCGCAACGATGTCCTCACTGTGCCAATATTCGTACCACATCGTTTGAACAAACGATCTATTTCAACATCCATCTAACTATATCAATCTCTAGAATGCAATCGGACTTGTTTTCTGTTTTTCTATCGTTAACATATTGTCTTAACTTGTTGTCTGTAAATTTTGAATAGTAAAAGCTTCTTTTCGAAATTCTTCTGCTTAAGAAGAAATGAAATCAATTTCTAATTGTAATTTATTTGGGTTTTGCACTGAACTTTAATAAATTATGACGCATCGAGTTCGTTGGAAAGAACTACTGAAAGTCTTACGGGATTCTGAGGAATCATAGTTAATTATAGCATCATAAGATCATTTGCCTTTTCACTTTACAATTATCTCCATTTCTACTTGTTTCCTCATCCTTTGCTCACGATAAATTCACCTTCGTAGCTTTCTAAGGTTGGCGACAGGCAAAATTCGAGCAATTTTTTTCCTGATTTTTTTTGTGTGATGCGCTGAATCCGAATGCATAAAAAGTCTTCTTCGCTGAGAAATTCTAAAAGTACTCCAAAAACCGAGGTTTCAAAAAACCATGGGTTTTGCTGGTAATTTGATAATAGGGTTTTCAAAACAACCGTTATAGCTTTGAAAGCTTTTTCTCCTGATTCAGCATCAAAAACTGATCCTAGGACACTACTTTTTAGATGTTCAGTCTATATCTTTGTTATTTAAAAAAATCATTTCTGTTAGTATAAGAGCTAATTGAGGGTCTTTCATTGAAAATGTACCAACTCATTTTCTAGTGAAGATAGACACTTTTTTCTTTCACCGTTCGACTTCTTAGATGCTCCAGATATAATCTACGCATTATCTCTCCTTAGTCCACTTCCATTCTCAACATTTCCTCGTTATTCTCCACGTGTCCTATCACAAATTTTTCTTTCCGATTTTCAACACTACTTTTGCTTTATTTTCTACTTTTTGAGCAACTTATATGTTTATAATGATAGAGATATTTGAAATAACTATTTATTTCGAATACTTATCGAACTATATCTAAGTTCTATAGGCAAACACACTTCATTTTCGTTCTGTTTGACCACGTCAACATCTGGCGTTCTCTATTGAGTTTGAGAATGATATTCGAAAGAAAATTCAAATTCTTTATTCGTCTGTATGGTAGCCATTAATAAGTGCATCCGTCACGAAAGGATCTAAAATGAATATTAAGGGGGCCCTCCACACAGAAATCGATCTCGGCTTCCCGTGAACCGATCGAGCTGAAATTTTTTTGTTTATAGCAACTAGCCCAACTTGAAAACTGTCAAAGTTTCATCCAATCAAAGCTCCCAGAAAAAAGGATAAAAATCTTTTACTGCACAAAAAGTAGGTGGCACCAAAAATAGATCTCCTCCCACAGTTTTTGACGTATCGAGTTCGGAGTTGTGTCAAACGATAGAGAAATGTTTTCTCTACTTTTTGATGTAGGTGATTTTTGAATTTTGGTTTCTTACCCTCACAACACGAAAAACAATTCAGAATTTTTTTTCCTGACCTTACCCGAGGTACTTAAAAATTCAATATCTAAATAACGGAATTGAAATTCAAAAATCCCCTTCATTAAAATGTATAACAAACATTTCTCTATCGTTTGAGACCATCCAGAGCTTGACATGTTAAAAACTGTGGGAGGAGATCCATTTTTATTATTCATTTTTTTCAATAAAAAGAAAGGCGAGAAAATCGCAAAACAATGTTGCGAGTGTGATAACTTATGATGGTCCCAGTGAAAAAATGAACAAGATACATCATTAGAAAGACCGTGAAAATCTCTATTAAGCTGTGTAGGGTTTTTACGATTTAGAGGAGATCTAGGCCAGATTTAGGCTGCTTTCTCCATTTACATTGTTAGTGGTGCCGATTACAGAATGGTCGCCATTTCTTTTAGAGGCTCCAGCATCGTAACGCTCACGAAAATGTCAGAGAATGTCTTCACACAAAACTCGTTGTGTACATGCGTGATGGAAATGGTAATCTTGAGGATGAAGGTGATGATCGACAAAGAGATGAAAAAGTGAAATATGATGCGTGATGTATAAAACAAAGAATGCGTAGATTTGATAAGAACAGCGAAAAGAAGTTCGAACGATAGTATCATTCATTTTTTCACATCGCAGAAGTCATAATGTTTCGATTTCTTTGTTCAATTCTTCTCGTTTCAACAACTTTGATCTTATCGATTGAAATAAAGCATGAGAGCTATGCGACCTATGTGTTAGTTCGAGATTATTTCAGTGGATTCAAAGCACCCGAGTATTGAATATATGATGAATCAGAGAAGAATCTNAACGATTAGATCGACTAGAGCCATCATTTATGTACACAAAGATCATCAAAGAAATACTTTTAACAATTCAATTTAAGCATAAACACATCAAACAATTCGTGGAGTACTGTTGTGATAATTTCGTTGATACTGAAGTCGATCGAAAGAAAGTGAAAGAACTGGAAGACGAATATCATCAGCACACACCTATTTGGTGGTATACAACACAAAGATTTTTATACAGTATGCTGAATCGTGCATTACGAGTGATGGATGGTGAAGTGATCACATTGATGGGCTTTTTCATCAGTGACCTTCATCGACATATCGAAGAATTGCACAAGCGGCAGTTTGGTGATGCATCATCTACTGCTAAATGCTGTACAGTTTACCGTGGTCAAGGTTTAACGAAGAAAGATTTTGATGAACTGATGGTAACGAAGGGTGGGCTGATATCATTCAATAATTTCCTGTCTACCAGTGAGAATCGCAACGTTTCTCTTATTTTTACTCCAGGAAATCGAAAGAACAGTGATGTGATCAGTGTTCTATTTGTGATCACAATTGATCCAAAGCAATCAACAACGTCATTTGCTTCGGTTCGCCATATCAGTCAGTTTCCCGAAGAAGAAGAGGTACTATTTTCGATGCACAGTATCTTTCGCATAAGGGATGTTAAGCCCATGGATGGAAACGAGAAAGTGTACGAAGTGGCGTTGTCATTGACGATTGACAATGACGAAGAATTGATGGTACTTACTGAACAAATTCGAAAAGAAAGCTTTCCAAATACAGAGGGGTGGTCACGACTGAGTCTAGTACTCGCTGACATAGCACAGTCAGACATTGCTGAACGAATCTGTCAAGTTCTAATTGACGAAACGCCTTCTGACGACTCTGCAAGCCATGTCTATAATCACTTGGGTAAGATTAAATGCGAGAAAGGACAATATGAGGAGGCAATAGCACTTTTTCAAAAATCTCTTGAACTTCGCTTGATGTCATCTTCTCCCAATCATCCAGATATGGCTTCATCCTACAACAACATCGGTAATGCGTATTACAACATGGGTGATTATCCCAAGGCACTTTCATCACATGAACAAGCTCTCAAAATACGGGAACAATCACTTCCTCCCAATCATCCAGATTTGGCTTCATCCTACAACAACATCGGTAATGCGTATTTTGACATGGGTGATTATCCCAAGGCACTTTCATCACATGAACAAGCTCTCAAAATACGAGAACAATCACTTCCTCCCAATCATCCAGATGTGGCTTCATCCTACAACAACATCGGTAATGCGTATTACAACATGGGTGATCACAGGACTGCTTTATTATTTTGTACAAATGCTGTTCAAATCGCTCAAAAAGTGTTACCATTGACACATCCTCACCTTCAAGTGATTAAAAGAAGCTTGGAAAGAGCGAAACAGAAACTATAAGTTTTGCATATTGCTTTGGACGGAACCGTGTTCAAGACGTTTTGCAGTTGTGAATGAGCTTCGCCGGCTGAATTAGTTCTACAATAAACGAAGATATGTCAGTGGACCAGCGGGAAAGATATCAGGCGGGAGTGAAAAATTTGGGAAATTTTTTTTAGAATTGTTTCGTATCGTGAAGGCCATTTTTCAGTTATAGTTTCGATAGCTTCGCATACTTTGACAGAATGAAAGATACTTTTTGACTCCGCAAAATAAAATAAACGTGCCAATATGGTTAAATTTTAAAAAAACAAGTGTTGTAGCATAGTTATACGATTTTCAGTTAATCAACATGTTGCTTTTTGGATCAATTCTTTTCACTGCGGTTGTTGAGATAAGTTTTAGTGTCTCAGATTTCGACGACATGAGTTGTAAAATGCTTCATGTTTGTTGTGAATTATTATGTCCAGTTGAAGATACTTGTAGATCATCAATGAAGACACATCGATGAATTTAATACCCATAAATTAAGATTCTCGCGAGTTTTATCTATTTGCTGATGTACCTACATGTAAAGTAATTAATTTACGAAATGCGACGTTTGTAGTTGAATTTTAGCAACTAATCTTTTCAAAGCTTTCTCAAAGTTAACCGGCAAAGAAAAGTCTATGTATAATTCATCACACTCTATCTGGTTTGTAGAATAACTCAACCAAGTACAGAACGAAATCAACATCTCTCTCTTTTTCATATAAAAATTTTACAAATAGATTCCACGACCAGTGAACTGCAAGAAAATAAATAATTTTCGAAAACATTTTTCGGTGGTAAAAAATAGAACAATAAGTAACATCAATCTTTCGTCGAAATATGGGGACTCATGCACTACCTCAATCAATGTCCGCTTTCTTCTGTTTAAGTTTCCTACAAATAGAACCAACCACTATTTACTTTCCGGTTCGAAGTTTTTCAAAACGAATTCGTGAAGGCATTTCAAATGATGAAGTATGATAATAACTGACTCGGAGTTATATTTCTTGCTCTTTTTGTCACATGCTTCAACAAGAGAAAGAAAATGATAAAAGAAGAGATTTGACCTTTGTTTGATTGTATAAATCTGATTCGAATCGTGTTTATATCCGCATTCACAGACAAGATGAATTGTAATCTTGGTATGTATACATTTCTTTTTCAAAATCTATGCGGATGAAAATTTTCTTATGTAGTTCACGACGAATCATGTTTTAGAAGTAGTGAAACAGCTGCTAAATGATGGTTCTACTCAGACGACAGCAGATCGTTTTTCAATGAAGGTCGAGATAGATCACTGATGGTATCAGACGTTTTAACTGCACATCCTGACAATCCACTCTTCCAGCGTTCTCAAAATGAATGGGCTGCCGTCGTGACGAAATATCATGAACTACTCGAATATGATGGAGGTCAGTGTATCGAACGGTCAGCTTCTGGATCAATTCAAGTCGGTTTTGAAAGCTATTTTGACAACGATGGTATCATTAATCAATTTACTCGCTTATTCAAAATACTACCGTTTAAGAAAGCTTATGCAAAACAAAGTTTCATGTTATTGTGGGCAATGCTCGTACGCATACAGCTAAACACTATTCGATTGAAGACTTTGAAATGAAGCCGAATACTCGTTGTAAAATTGATCAAATGTCATACAGTGATAAAAACGGTAAACAACACACTGTTGACTGCTTCTTCACAACTGGTGAAAACAAAGGACAATCAAAAGGTCTTCTTATCTTAGCAAAAGAACTGGGTATCAGTGTTCCACCTAAAGCAAAATTAGAAGAAATAAAACAACTACTGAACGCCCATGAAGCATTTAGGAATGTGAGCAGTTTGTTAATGATAATCATTTATTATATCACTGATACGGTAATATATTATGTTACTTTTTAGATTTCAAAACTGAAAACAGTTGCCAGAACCTATGGTATAGCAATTAGTTTCTCGCCAAAGTTTCATTGCGAGTTAAATCCAATCGAGGGTTTATGGGCGCATTCGAAGCAATATATTAGGCGTCGAACTGACTAAAAATTTCCTACCATGTTAAAGTTAATGAAAAACTCCAGAGCAAATTTTATCGAGAAAAACGTTTCTCCCAAATTAACTCGAAGATTCTGGCGCACTTTAGTGACATATGACCGTAGTGATTCATATGAAGATGTCCTTCAAACGTATTTTAGTCCTATGTGTAAAGCTAACGTCGTTTCCCATCGTCAAATTACTAATTACAAACTGAATGTATAACTTCATTGCTTAGCGAATATATACAATGATTAGTTTTTTGCCAGATAAAATATATTTCACCATCATGTATTGAATGCAAACAGATATTATTCTCTAAATCGAACGAAGATTCTATTAGTAATTCATTTTCTCCAGTTTCTTGACAAAAAATACTGCAACCTAAGCTCGCACATGTATAAAGAACTTAGATATAGTTCGATAAGTATTCGAAATAAATAGTTATTTCAAATATCTCTATCATTATAAACATATAAGTTGCTCAAAAAGTAGAAAATAAAGCAAAAGTAGTGTTGAAAATCGGAAAGAAAAATTTGTGATAGGACACGTGGAGAATAACGAGGAAATGTTGAGAATGAAAGTGGACTAAGGAAAGATAATGCGTAGATTATATCTGGGGCATCTAAGAAGTCGAACGGTGAAAGAAAAAAGTGTCTATCTTCACTAGAAAATGAGTTGGTACATTTTCAATGAGAGACCCTCAATTAGCTCTTATACTAACAGAAATGATTTTTTTAAATAACAAAGATATAGACTGAACATCTAAAAAGTAGTGTCCTAGGATCAGTTTTTGATGCTGAATCTGGAGAAAAAACTTTCAAAGCTATAACAGTTGTTTTGAAAACCCTATTGTCAAATTACCAGTAAAACCCAAAGTTTTTTGAAACTTCGGTTTTTGGAGTACTTTTAGAATTTCTCAGCGAAGAAGACTTTTTATGCAAATGAATAGTACATATTCGGATTCAGCGCATCACACAAAACAATCAGGAAAAAAAATGGCTCGAATTTTGCCTGGTGCCAACCTTACGTTGAAGTATTTTCTCCAGATCTAACATATAAGGATTGCTACATCTTATACTGTTGACAATTAACCGAAACACACCTTCAGAAAGTAAGTTGATATACGATAAACTTGATTTGCTCTATTAAGCTTAAAAGATGGAAGATCGTTAATAGTTATCAAAACTATATCAGTTTTAGACTATTGAATATATGTTTCATCGGAATTTTATTCGATTTGACAAGAAAAAGTATGTTATGTCGCCCATGTAAGAAAAAGGCTGTGAGTGTCAGATTTTATACGAGCAATCTGGTGGAAAACTGCCTTAAGTAGCTCGGTAATCGATTAAATTGAAATAATGAATTAAAATCGAACAATATCTATTTTTACTCGAAAAATAATAGATTTAAAATGTCCTTTTTCAAGAATTGAATAGCTTAATTCTTATATTTAAAATCTGTTTCTGTAAGATCCTTTCTCCATGTAACATTGCTTAGTATAAATAAAGTAGAAGTTTCTCGTTGCTAAATGTTATATGTTATGAAAATTACAGTGCTGATGTGTATATGACAGAGAAGTACAATTCACTCCAATTTTGCTTTAACTCAAACTTTTCCATAAAGAAATTAGGAAAAAGCGATAAATTGGTCTTGATACATTGTTGAATATCACGACGAAGTCTGGATTGAAGTTACGATGTTAACATAATGAAACGATTAACGCACGCAGTTCTTCATCAAATAATTATGAATATATCAAAAAGCAGATCAATTGAGAATTTGACAGTCACGATTCGCGAATATTGTGTTTGACCGGACTATTGTAATGAAATTGATTGCGTATAGAGACAACAAATCGTAGTAGTGAATTTGAATTGTACTTTTCCCTGGTTGAACTGATCGACATATGTAGCACTTATTTACACCTCCCGAGTTAGTAAGTGAGTTAACACAAGTCAGCAATTTGAAAAGCTGTTTATTTGATAGAATCGCGCTTCGTATAACATTATTCAGTCAATCATAACTGTGCGTCGATTCCATAATGTTTCTAAAATCGTCTTCTTTTCAGGTAAAGTGTCTGTTGTTTTATGACTCATACACTCTCTTCGTTTTCCTATGAGTCACTGTTATTGGGTAAGAAATATGAGTCATTGGGTATTTTCCTTTTACTCTGTGTATTTATATAATTATTTGCTCCTTTGATATTACATTCATTTGGTTTTCGCATTTATCGACGATTTTTTTTTCTGCTGCACTATCGTGTTCATTAGATTGTTTTATTATATCTGTGTGTGTAATATTCATTTGTTTTTTTGTTGGATATTTTCTATCTCGAAATAAAACTTTGAAATATGTATCTCAATGTTCCAAGTAGACCTATGTCTTGTATTCGTTATCGATTTAAGTCTGAGAAGGATTTCAAAGTCTTTCCTTGTAATCAGGTAGGTTGCGTCGTAAATCAACTCAAAGATTCTCTTATCGGTCAGTCGAACAAAAAGAAATTACGTCGTTGGAAAGATGAGACAGTTTATATCGTCAAAGATGCTTCGACCGATCATGGTATGTTTTCTTCGCTATATGATCTTTTGACATCCATTTCTACTAGTGTTTTTAGAATATCAGAACGATGGCGATTTCATTCCAATCTACAGAAGTGTTATTGTGACTCGACGACCACGTGAGATTTACAAGCCATTAACTCCGGAAACAGTCAGAAGTGAACGACGACAGCCATTTGCGTTAGTTAGTGACGTTATCAAAGAGTGAGAAAACACATATTTTCTATGTGAAGAAGTTAAACTAATCCTATGCATTTTTGTATCGAATTATTTAGATATGAACCAAACATCAACGCGATGCGACACAGATTCATATCTACAGAAACAAGTGTTGATCAGTCGACAAGATATTCTCGCAACGATTCTGCACGATCGACGCAAAGCTCCACAATGACGACATGTGCAAAACCCAATTCATTCCATAAAACATTAAATCATGCTTTTTCAGCGAAAGAGGACACTATGATTTTTAATGAAACTAACACTAATCTTGTACAACTATTTTCAAATAAAGGTCAAAGTGATCAGGTGATATCTGTCAGCTCTTTCTCTAGTTTTTCACGTTTAAATAATGCTTATCAACAATCACCGCAGTACTTTGCTCGTAATCAAAGTAAAAAGTTCCGTTCTACTCACTATGCTCCACGTCTTTCACCGTATCGATCATTGTGCAAACCAACAGCAAATACGCCTCTTAACTAGTTTCATTGGACAAGTTTTTTTTGTTGGTTTTGTGTAGTTTATCAAACTGAAAATACTAATAAAAATGTGCTTTTAAACCGAGTGTTTTTTTTCTGTAATATCTATTTTATTCGAATAAAACGTCTAAAAAAGTAAAATGATAATCTTGACTTTTTGATTGCTCTTGAAACCTGTTCGTATCAATTCGAAATGAAAATAGGGTTATATCCCTATGAACTAAGTCATCTGAATAGAAACAATGTATTAAGGAGTAGAGAAGTGATCCATTGGAAGTTCATTAAGATTTTATCAAATCAATCAGTCGACTTTACGAATGACGCGCTTTTACATCTGTACTCCACTTCACCAGTTATTGATGTTTTCTACGGATTCCTGAAGCACTAACAAAGCAATTAACTCATCCATTGATGTGTTTATACATTATTTATTGGAAACAGAATGAGAATGCAAGACAAAGGCGTGCTATACTCATCTATACAAACATAAAAAGTAAAACAAAATATATTTTAGCAAAGTCCTGCAAAATGACTAATTCGAATTCTTGACATGTAAGTTAACGCATTTCGTGTTTAAATTTGAAGTATTAAGAAACGGTTGGCGTGAGCCATTTACAATTTTGAAATAAGGTAGTTCGATTAACGTAATCTTCAATTCGATACTTAAATAAACGCATATCATCACTGTATAATTTGATCAGATCGCAAATAAGATCATCTGGCAGTGTGTTATAATAAGCTTGATAATCCTGCTTAGAGAGACCTGATGCACCATTTCGTCGCTCAATATTCCAATTAGATATATTGTAAAGCTTGAGGAATCGAGATAAATCATCGTTGAACATTTCATATTTACCAATGAAATTATATTTAAATTTACAAACTTGACAGAGGACGGAATACGGTTGCCAGTGGTAGTTCATGCGAGCAATTCCATTAGGTATGTGAGTTATGGTAAGAATATAGCGAAGAAAGTCTTCGAATGACGGCACCGTATACATGCATGAATCTTGTGTTGGTTTTAATGAACGAACTCTTTGAGACACTACGCGTTGTTGGCAAATTTCTATGCGCATGGCGTCGTATTCGGGTTCGGGTTCAATCCTATCCTTGGCAAGCGTAGCAATTCTCTCTTTGTAAGCCGATGCTAGACGTTCAAAAGGATGACGAACGAAAATAACCCGATTGAAAGATGGTGTGAATATCTCTGCTAAACTAGGAAGATTGTTCAGGCGAAAATAAGGGAATGAGAATGTGAAACGAAGACGCCAAGGATTAACGAGTTTCGATGAAGACGATGTATTGATCTTACCAAACTGAAGAATGTTGAGATACATGTGAAGAAACTCAGCAACAGACTTGGGCATCTCCGATTGCGGAATGACAACTCCATTCTAAAAGAATGAAATGTTTAAGTTTCCAATACTAGAATGAACATCTAAATGTTATACAAATCGCAGATCTTCGATAAAAGCAGAAATATTAATCATCTTTTCTATCTGTGGTCTGTTAGTGCTAACATTTGTCCAATTATTCTCGACGCGATGAATAAGATCACGCACATGCACATATAGTATAATATTTAGCAGAGTTTTTGTTGCTATTTTTGGAACAGGACAGTACATCAAAGAACTGGACTGTAAGACTATGGATATCATATTGACTAGTTGATTTGGATGTACAGAAAGATGCTTGGGTGAGTTTTCCGATGGACATTTCCTTAAATAGGTATAATTATGACTCCCGTTATGTAAGTTCGGCGAATATTGGTAGATTATCGATGCAGCTGGATAGAAAGTACTTTTCAGATGTTTTCATCAGTTAAATTTCTTTTTTTCTTACTCGCGAAAACAACATGTGTACGGCTTTGGACCACAATCAGGAAACCTATCAAGGCAATTATATGTAGATAATACTTCTTGTATATTCGAAAGTAGCCGGTTGTGAAACTTCTTCTAACGAGCACATTTGAATCCATGGTAACAAAGTGAATGAATGTTTCAATAGAGGATGGTCTATTTCAGGTAATAGAATAGAATAATCATCATTCTAAAATAAACTCGTGATGTAGATCACATTTGTTATGTTTATAAATAATCGGTAAATATAATCGAGTAGAAATCGATAATTTCGCAAGAATGATCGAAAATTGACTTTTAATTGTTATATAGATTCGATATTCTTCTCACTATCGATTCAGTTCAATAAAACTTACTGTTCTATATTATTAGACAGCAACCAGTTTACTGCTGTCTTCTCGTCTTGCTCTAATTTTTGTCGTTCGTAAACGTTTATCGTCCTGCATGCTCTTGTTTTTGGAAGGAAAGAACAAAAAAAGAACGTACTTTTTCGGAACATGACTTCCAAAAAAAGAAAAAGTACGTTATACTCAAGTATGCAGCGACCATAGTGCCAAATATGGCGTAAAAAAAGACATGACTACTTTCTAGTCAATTTTGATTTCAACAATCTAAAAACAGCAAGTAGTGGGTAGCGATCGTCGTTCTTTGGCTCTATGCATATTTCTTTATTAGAAGAAATCTGACAAATTTGAAAAAGCTACTCTTTCATTCATCCATTAAATAATAGAGAAAAGAAGAAAACGTTTTGCAATTCTGTAATAACATTAAAGCGATCATTGACACTTCGATTATTTTTTCGCGGATTTGTATTGTTGTGCTACATTAAAAGTTCGATATGTTGCGGCGAGAAACGTGTGACTATGCTCCATTAAATTAAAATATTTCTTTGTATTAAACATAGTGTCGAAACAAAGACCGATATACCTGGAAGCTAATCTTCTAGTTTAATCATGCATAGATATTTTACCTTGAAAAAGTTTAGTCTATCCTAGTTCGAATCAAAATATTTTAATCGATACTACGACATATAGTTATATCAGTGTTTTACGGTTAAAGGTAGGAAACGTAAAATAATAAAGAATACATCGGTACGCGTGATTATACATTTTGTTCATTGATCAAACGATTAACTGTTTATGCAAACTAGTTTCAATTAGCATCTTGAGGGTGAGGGTGGGTGTGATGACGCGTCCAAAGCACGGACACTTTCACAAATTACACGGTGGATATGAAGATACACCATACCAGATCAGTTTTCGGAAAAAAAAGTGTTTTACTCTGTGAAAATCCAGTTATCTGATGTGCAGTGTCTATTAGAATGATGCGATTTTCGAGAAGAAGACGAAGAAATCAATGAGCATGTAGCTCTATTTGCGTATACATCTCTTTCGTCAAAACAAATTTTCATTTGAAGTGCATAGTAGTAGAAATCCGCGCTTTTTCCAACTTTTGTTTTCATTCAATTCATATAATTGTTTACAGTATTAACGCAATTCTTTTTCTGTGACTTCGCAGTTGGCCATAGTTTGTATTACTTCACTTTTTCCTTTTCTTTATTGTATGTTGGACTCTTTTCTGTATGAAAACGTTCGGTAGAATAAAATTGTATAGGTGTAGGTAATGCCAACAAATAAACTTGCCGTCATTCTTCGTCTAACAATTGCACACGATGGAGAATAACAAAAACGTTTTCTTCGATAATGTTGACGAAATTATTTTATCATTTCTTACGCATCACTTAGCCAGTCTAGCGGACCCCGATACTTGTCAACAAATCATATGCGCGGTGAAAAGTGGTGAAGAATTACAATATAATTTACTTTACCAAATTCAAACCTTAGCGGGAAATAATGACGATGTTGAAGGCTCACTCTGTGCCAAACACATCCTATATGCATATGCTACCTGGCACAGCAGTTTTATAGAACCAACGTACTTTGCGGATCTGAGCGAACTACTGAAGTCAGCAGATTCTACTATGCGTCAATGCATTCTGTGGGCATTTGCATCGACAATGCCATGCACTACCATTCTCATACCAACGATAATTGAGTGCCTATATGAATATTTACACGACTCTGCGTTACAATGGATTGTACTGTTTATATTTCGAAAGATGTCAGAAAATGACGAGTATATTCAATTAGTTTCCGATGATCGATGGATGTCGATAATAAGTTTATCGAACGATTTGGAATTAAAAGAGCAAGCCCGTATAACAGTCATTCATACAATGCTCAATATTTGTCGAAAAAGAAAACAATTAGCAGATCATATCAAACTCGAACTGGAGAAAATAATTATAAGCGATAGTACAACGAAGAAATTTCTTGTTGTTGCCACCAAAACTCTATACAAGATTGTCATAAATGGAGCACGCGTGAGTTCAAGTACATTAGACAGGTTATATGAATTGGCAGCCAACAGAGATAATTCGATAATTGAATGTGTTCAAGAACTTCTCGAATTTCTCGGCGATGAGCGAAATGTGTCGAAGGTAGTACTGCATAGTTTAAGTTCGGATGTAAAAAGAGAACTTGTTGTTACTCGAAATACGTTAATCGTGCATTCACAAGAAAATGTTATCGCGCCTCTTACTGATTCAGTAAATTTTGATCATTTACTCGATACAGTTGTTGACTTTGATTGCACGAGCCATATTGAAATTCGGCCGACACTTATCGAAACAGGTGATAATCAAGCTTGGCATCGTCGAACTGTAAGCGAAATAAACCATCTTGGTTTGCTAGCAAAACAAGGAAGTCTAAAGTCGCAAGACTTCCATTACTTGAGCGACAAGATGGACAATGGTTGGCGCTGGCTTTCTATAACACGGCGAACTACAATGCAGAAGCTTGTTGCTACTGCCTTTTTAGATGCTACGAACGCTGGGCAAACTCTACCAGAGCATGCTATTGACGTCATGATCGATAAGTTGCTGAGTACGGAATACGAATTGGGTTTAATTTGTGCTGAGTGTCTACTAGTAGTAACACGTCGAGATGGATCGCTTCAACCAAGACATATTGAAAAAATCGAACGAAAGTTAGATGAATGTCGGAACTATCAAGTCGGTTTTGTCAAAGAGAAGATTATTGAACTTTATGCTCTATGTGTGAAGAATGGTCATCATGTAACATTGAATCTCGAGTCTATCGAAGATAATCTAATTTCAAACGAAACGTCTGACAAAGTTAGCTATCTATACTTCAAAGCAGCGGCTGTAGGAAAGCGAATATTTTCACCGAAACACATGAAGATCCTATGTGACATGGCAAAATTAAAAGATCGTTCTCTGATGACGCGGCGCAACTGTCTAGGGGCTCTTCAGTACAGTATTAAGAACATGGAAAGAAAATGTTCGCTCAAACCCGAGCTGATCGATCGGCTTGGAGAGATTTTGCAAGATGCGAATGATGATCTTCGACAGTCAACTGCTGTGACATTATGCTTGATTGGTAATGATGAAAACTCACGTCTGCCCAATCGTATTCTTGAAGGGCTTACAGTTATGTTACAGTGTGAAGATCAGAAGTTGGTATGCAATATCTTATCTATCTATATGAAGTTAGTCAAAGCAAAAGAACGTCTATCCACCGAAATTCTTGATAAACTCGTTAATGTTTTCTTCCGACCAGACAACGATTTTCTCTTGCGCCAACAGACGATTTGGATACTGAAATATGTGGTTGATAACGATCAAGATTTACCTTCTCCAGTACTGAAGGCAATCGAAGTCTGTCTTGATGACTCTGAGTCTCATATTCGTAATACTGCCGGACTCGCCTTCATTCAATACTGGCACAAAAAAGTCAAGAAACGTTCGAATAATGATTTCAAAGTCGATAATTTACTGATATTCTTTCGTAGTCAGTTTGGATTACAGGTGCAAATTCTCGCATTGGAATTTCTTCAATATCTAATGAAAAACCGGTACGAATTATCCGATGCACTGTTGGAAGTCATTGAATACTGCCTGGACGATAAGGAATCTTCAATTGCCACACATGCACTTGCTATATTGACCTTGCACATGGAAAAAAACCATTGTTGGAACGAACAATTTTATGTCTAGAACATTTACTGACAACAGAAACCGAAGCGATTCCTCAAGTAGTCAAACTTTTGAAGATTGCAGTTGTTTACCAAGGTCATATTTTATTGGAACGAACCATTGCTCATCTGGGTTGTTTACTCTTTGGAAAAAGTCATCTTAGTAATATTGCTATTTTACTTCAACTTGCCGATCGCAATCAACCGCTGCCAAGTGATATCATTCATCTTCTTCGACAGCACTATTGTGCCGATGTTCTTCGCTATTCGAATGTTTCGATAAGCAAGGAAAAAGCTGCGAATGAGTTGTTAACTATGACTTCCACTGGACAACACATGCCAGGATCGGTTGTAGAAACACTTTTCAAACTATTAAACTCGTCACAATTAAGATCATCCCTGTTAACGATCTTTGTTAACATAATAGATAATGGACAACGCTTTGAGCACCATCGGATAGACTTTTTCTGGCGAATTCTTCGGAGATCTGAAGAAGAATCACTGATTAATTTGATGAAAATATTCACCCACCTCAGCCGTCAGAACTATTTAATCTCCGACGAAATCGTTCGTTATTTGAGCAACTTCTTGGACAAACCACTGGTCAGCGTTTATGTCGTTGAAATCTATCAGCATCTTATTGAACATCACAAGTCACTTGACCGGCACATTGTCCAAAAAATCCTTCGATGCTCTAACTCAAATGCACTGCTTGCTGTTGAGCAGAATCTACAACATCGGTTGATCATGTGTTCAAAAACGATTGCCCACCGATGGCCAGAAGAGATCAACCAAGCAGATCTTCCATCACTTCTCGATTTATATTCATCATCACCTACAATAAGTCAGGATATTTATTCTATTATTGAAGCTTTACTTAGAAATGGTCTGATATTGATACCGGATGTCGTTGAGAAACTCAAACATCTATTAAATCATTGCGATAATGCCGAAATTCTGTCAACAGTATCGAAAATCCTCGTATGTGCTCAGTCAATCAAACAAGTAGTTCATATCGAAGAGGATGAAAGTTTTGTTCAAGATTTAAACAAATTCTCGCATGCATTATACACGGATGATGTCAATTTAAAAATAGAAGCGGCAAATACGATTTCACAACGACGACTTCTTTCCACTCAAATACTCAGTGCTATTTTTACTACTTTACGCGATGAAACAATTAATGCGATTACAATTCCCCTACTATTCCAAGCATCGGTAACCCTACCATCATCTGTCCTTGATGACCTCTTGTACGTAATGATTAGTTCGGAGCACTATCGTACGAGAAACTGCAAGAAAACTGCTCCGAGGCTATGTCGAACATGCTAAAGTGCAACTATTCTTTGCATACGAACAGGATTGGAATCAAGTGGAAAGTGTTGCAACGATGCTGCAGTCATCGAATCAAGCCGATGTGTCTCGTGCTTTGCAGATTTTCCAAGGAATGCTGGCTCTTGATCAACGAATTCCATGCGAAGTTTTCCTAGCCTGTGCTTGGTTATTGAGTATTCATAAAGATTTAACGTCGGGTATACTCATTGAAGCATTGAAACATGACATCGAAATGGACGCTGATGTTTATGAAGCAATACAAGATGTTTTTCTAGTTTATCAGTCGAAACAGATGTTTAAACTGATCCAAATTTTGACACAGAAGAAAATCGTCTTACAATTGGAAACGTTAGAAATTCTTAGCAAACAAATCACGATTAGTGAAAGTGTCTTAGCTCTCGAAGGCGCTGCTCGAAATCAACTGTTACCAAAAGAAATCCTTTCATGTCTCATATCTCAACTTTCCAAAGAGTCATCTCTAAGAACCCTTTCTGTTCTTCGATATCAAATGTTGCAGGGAGCTGTCGAAGATCTTCTGGAATACCTAACGAAACTTCGATTTCCTGCAATAGTTGACGATGAAAAATTATCCCAATTGAAAACATTCGATCAATATCTCGGTACATTGCATACTCTACTCTTCATTAATTATTTTGACTCGACCGTATTCGATTTAACACCAGAACAGTGGTCCCGAGAATGTTTGTGCGTTGAGCTCTTGACTGGATGTGCAAACAATGAACCCGATGAAATCGTCGGTTTGTATCATCATTTAACTCTACTTGAACAATATAAAGAGTACGATTTGTACGATGATGAACGTGATCTTATCCTCCAGGAACTCATTCAAAAACAACGAACATATTCCTTAAGTCTTTCACATATCAATCAGATCCTAATCTGTTTACAAACGTTAACTGATCATTCACTTGAAATTCTCCAATCAGATGACACAAATTGGTTTATCAATCTTCGCCGATTTTTCATTCAAGGCAAACTGGACGAATGCCTCTGTAATGCTATCTATTCGCGAGTCACCATCAACCACCTTGCCGATCGGATTGCTAAACAAGACGTGATTTCGGCTGACATGATCGAAATTTTCCTGAGAAGTGTTCAACAACCTGAACATATCATCACATATCTCGACATGATTGAAAAACATCAAATTACCAACACCGAGCTCACTCAACTCTTTTCTAATGTATCGAATACTAAAGATTTCATATCTTTAGTGCGTGAAATCGAATTGACCGTTGTCAATCGTCTTCTCGTACGTCAATGGCACGGTCCTCAAGCACAATTGATATCCGCTCGCGGTTATTTGCATCGATTACTCGAACTAGGATGGATGCTAGACAAACTGATCGGAATGCTCAGCTATGTCCGAACTGAAGCTGACTCGTGTCAGAGTCTTGCTCACTTCGTCGATAGTTTGAAGACAATATGCCAATATAAAATGAAGGACGATATCGTCGGTAAATTAAACCAGATATATTCAAGCGAAGAAGCCCACTTGTGGCCATTTTCAGTACATATTTGTGTGATTGAGTACCAATTTGGTTTGACAAATCCAGAAAAGCCAATCTCCACATTACTGGAGGAAATTCAAACTTTGAATAGGATACAATTTCGAACCTCATTCATCGAGATACTAAACAGGATGAATCAGGCATTGAAGTCAAGTTCATTGATATCTAAACAAAAAATTCCGATAAAAGATTGAAATGTATCACACATCAAATCATGGGCGTCGTCAATAAGCCAGCAGCAGAATAAAGACAATGTGGAACGGGGCTATCTACCAGAAGTTCTCGCAGTTCTCCATCGAACGATCTATCTTCACTCGACTTTTGAAGTTCGTGATGTTCAAATTTTAGCTATTCTAATTATTCTTGATCGGAATCATGATAGCGGGCGATTGTTACAGGTGTTGACTGGTGAAGGCAAGTCAACGATTGTTTCCATATTGACTGTGATTAAAGCCATACAAGGCAAACGCGTTGATATCGTCACCAGTTCAATAACATTAGCGAAACGTGATGTAAATCAGTGGAAATCGTTTTATGAAATGTTCAATTTGACTGCTGCGCATAACAACGATGAGACAAATTATGTCGAAGGATTCAAATGTTGCTATAAGGCGAACATTGTCTATGGTACAGCTAGTCAATTCCAATTTGATATTTTACGCGATGAATTCAGTTTATTGAAAACGCGTGCTGATCGACCCTTTGATTTGGTTATTATCGATGAAGTCGATAGTATGCTAATCGATGAAACAAACGCTACTGCTCGTCTTGCTGACCACCTGCCAGGAATGGAATGGTTAAATCCTCTTTTATGTCAAATTTGGCAAATAATCAATAAGTTTTCCGATCCGATCTCAAATAGAGATCAGATTCTGAAAACGGCTCGATATTTTATTTATAACTCCAAAACACAATTGAAGTATCCTGCTCATTTGAGTGATTTCGTATCTAGTTCTCTACCATTATGGATTGATCACGGTATTCAGGCCAAAGTTGAGTATCGCCTTGATTACCAGTACATCATAAAGAAAGATGAAATGGGAACATTACGTATCATGCCCATCGATTATTCAAACACTGGTGTCATTCAATGTCATACAACATGGAGTGATGATTTACATCAATTTCTTCAAATCAAACACGGATTAAAAATGACACCGCTTACTGTCACAACGAATTACATGTCAAATTACGATCTATTCACTCGATATAAAAACGAAATTTATGGATTCAGTGGCACACTCGGTTCTCCTGATGCTCAGGCGCCTCTAAGCAAGATTTATCAAGTTGATAACATTGTCATACCACCTTGCAAACCAAAACGACATTATCAACTTGAGACTGTTTTACCGTCAACGGATGAGGATTGGTTGAATACTATCGTTCAGAATACGATTGATCATGTCAATAAACGTCGTGCGGTGTTAGTCATTTGTGAAACACGGATCGATGCAAAGACAATCTTCAAAGAACTGCAACGACAGCAGCCGACAAGTTCGATTCGGTTATATACAGACAATACGGATCGTNTGGATACTGTTCTCGTTAAGATACACTTTTTCTATAGTCGAGTTTTAAGTTCTGTCAACGAGAGGAGTCAGATTTACGGTATCAAACAGACTTGAAACAATCTGACATAACGAAGAGACAATAGGAAAAGAAAGATTTTTTGCAAATATCTTTGGTGCCGAAGAACAGTTCGAAACTCATCCGTCCGATATCATTCTTTCACAATTACATTTCGTTGAAAAGTAAATCCAAAAGGGACTATGGTGATAATTACTTTATTTCTTTCAGAAATTATCCTTTCGTCTTTGATATTCGATTATCAACGACTTTTTCACAGAATATTGAGAACTTAACAGGATTTTACAATGATTTAGTTTAAACATTCCTTTTCTAATCAATCAATCAGACTCAAAGTTTCTTCCGAGATTTCCTATCTTCAACTTTCACAGTCATTTTATAGATTTCTTCATTCAATTTCAGCTCTTTCGTTTAATCAACCGAAATTTTGTTTGGGTGCTGTTTGGAATAAATCTGCAATTACTTTTGCTGATCAAAACATTATTGGAACACATCCCCATGCTCTTTTTATAAACACAAACAACACAATCTATTCAATCAATCGGAGTACAAAACAAATTCTAATCTGGGCGAATCAAAGTTCAAATCCAACAAAAAACATTTCGGGGAATTTCATCAATTCATTTTCGATATTTGTGACAAATGTTGGAGATATTTTTATCGATAATGGTCAGTCGAACAAGCAAGTTAAGCAATGGATTCAACGAAATGAAAGTTTCATCACTGTCATGAGTGTCGATTCTCAATGTTATGGTTTGTTTGTCGATCAAAATAATTCGTTATATTGCTCAATGTCCAATCAACAGAAAGTGGTGAAGAGATGGTTGAACGATGTTGATTTGAAACCAAAACTTGTTGCTGGAAATGGCACTAATGGTTCTGCTCTCAATCAACTTTCTTATCCTCGGGGAATATTTGTTGATGTGAATTTCGATTTATATGTGGCAGATTTAGAAAATAATCGTATCCAACAATTTGAAGTTGGGCAGTTAAATGGAAAAACGAGAGTGGGAAACGGATCTTCATCTGTCACAATTACACTCGATCGTCCAAGTGGAATTGTTCTCGATGCACAAAAATATCTTTTCATTGTGGAACATGGAGGAGATCGTATAATTAGAGAAGATGCGAATGGTTTTCGATGTTTAGTTGGATGTGATGGAAAAGGTTCACAATCTCGTCAATTATCCGGTCCAAATACTCTGAGTTTTGACATTGATGGAAATATTTATGTTAGTGATTGGGGAAATCATCGAATTCAAAAGTTTAATTTTGAAAAAACATCGTGTCGTAAGTGAAAAAGTGACTAAAGAAGCGAAATCTTTGTTTTTTCATTTGTAGAAAACTCTTCATTTATTGAAACAACAAAAAAAATGCAACAAAGTTTGCTAAATTTCCAGAAAAACCTTTAATTTCTCCTTTGAAATTTTAGATGAAATGACAACGATTGAAAATATCTTACAAAGCCAACAAAGTTCGATAATTTCATTGATAAAAATGCTTTTAATCGAATAAAAATTCTTCATTTGTAGCGATAAAAGAAGAAACAACAGAATTTTCCACAACAATGAACCAAATTTCGACAAATTTTCCAAAAAGCGAAAGTAAAAATTGAAATATTTGAATAAAATCGAATATTTTATTTGCGTAGAAAAATGTTCGAATGTTGAAATTGATTTCATTCCTCATTCAACATTTTCATCACCAATTCAAATTCGTCGAAATCGTGATTTTTATATTTTATCGAAAATTCGATTCGAATGTTCAAAATCATTTCAAATGAAATCTCAATGGAAAGTCCGAAATTGTACAAAAAACTGTACAGATGAACTTTTGTTCGATTCGATTGATTTCACTCGAACTGATTTGTACATTCCTTCAACAACATTTCCATATGGAATTTATGAATTTACTCTTCATATTCAATTGAAAGATTATCTTCATATTCGATCGTCAAAATCAATTTATATTCAAATTAATCCAACAGGAATCACTGCAAATCTTGTTCCATTGGGAACATCGATGATCACATCTGGTTATGAAGAAGATCTTTATCTAAATCCAGGAAATTATTCCAATGATCTTGATGGTTTTGAATTCAATTCGACAGTGAGTTTCTTCTCTTGTGAATCTGTTTTTGACATTTTCTTTTAGGATTGGATTTATCGATATTATTGTCGAATTTATGGAACATATAAAATTCAAAGTGAATTCACAACGAATGCACAATCATCGAATGATTCGTCAGATCTTTCGTGTTTATTCAATTCATCAAAATACGAATTTGTCGGAAGAAGATTTCCGAAAGAATCTTCAATAAGAATCTTTTCGAATTCGTTTCAATTAAATGAAACATATCAATTTATGGTTCTAATGAATAATCGTCGAAATGTGACAATTTATGCATCTGGTTTCGTTCTTGTTCAAATTAAAGATTTGCAAAGACCAATGATCATTATCGGGTAAATTCCTTAGACAATTTCCTGTTTCGCATCTCTTTTCTTTGTCTTTAGATGTGTCATTTCAACACTTTGTTCATCAAATCTCGAATATCAATTGATAAATCCAACAACACAAGTCGCTTTGTATTCATTTTGTTATCGGAATTGTCGTTCAAATGAAATTATTCAATGGAATATTTATTATCCATCACAAAATTCAACTCATTGGATTTTATTCTCTCTGAGGAATTCTTCGTGGTTTTACGGTAAAATTTTCCTTTTTCTCTTTTGAATTTGATGAAATTGATTTGAATTGAAAGGACAAACAACGAAGAATTTCACTTCAACAAATGATTTATTTTTGATTCATCCTGAGATAATTTATTGGCGATATGAAGTTGTTTATTCATTTGCCGATGAAATAAGTGTCAGTGCATTGAATTTTAAAATAAATTCTAAACCATCAAATGGAACTTGTTCAATCGATCGAATCAATGGAACAATCGAAACTTTGTTTCAAATCAAATGTCTCGATTGGCAAATCGAAGATAATATCAAAGATTATTCTTTGTTTTGTAAAGAAAATCAACGAAAGAAATCTTCTCTTCTCTACGATTCTTTCTTTTAGATTGGTCGAAAGATCCAACAAAACGAACAATCGTTGCTTTTTCACCAATTTCCAATTTCACTGTTCGTTTTCCAGCTGGAAATTTTCATCTTCTTGTTCAAATTCGTGATTTAATGAATTCAATCACTGAATTTAACATTTCATCAACTATTTCCGTCACTTCACAAGAAACAAAAGGTTTATTAGTTGAATTACATGAAAATCACGATCAAAATTCCATTGGACAAATCATTAGTTCGATTTCTCAACAATTTAATCAAATGGCCAATGAAAATCGTGAAAAAGCGATACAAAGTAATGTGAAATCTTCTCTTTCAATTGAATTTTTTCTTTCTTCTTCAGATGGAATTTCATCAACACAAATTTCTGTTTCTTCATTGGGACAAAATCGAACTTCTCCAAATGATTTTCTCTCCAATCAATCAGCAATGAAAGAATTCAACGAACAAATGAATTTTCAAGCAGAATTTCGAGAGAATTTAAGTGAATTCATAAGAAACATTCGTCCGATGACAATTGAAAGTATGAAATTACAATTATCAACGTTAATTCAACTCACCGAAACAACAAATCAATTAACAAGACAAACTCTCGTAAATCTCAACATTTTCTCACCTTATTTTCTCATTTATTTTCCATTGAAAGATGATCGTGTCACAGAAATGTTCTCAATTATCGAAAGATCTTCATTCTTTATCAAATAAAGTTCCGTATGAAGATATTCAAATGACCGGTCAACAACTTCTTCAATGTTCTGCCAATATCTTAACCGTAAACTGATTTCCTTTCTTTATTGATATTGAAATGATCGATTTAGGGTGTCAATGGAGTTTTACAACAAAGGACAAATCTCTTAAAATCTGATTTTCAGAGTTCAACGAAAATGCCTGATGATTATGATACAAATTTGGATTCAGATTGGTCAAATTTGAGTAAGTTGAGAAGATTTTCACCTCTTCAAACCAAATCTATGTTCTGTTGAAGAATTATTCGTTGATGAAAATGATTTTTCAATGGAGAAAATCAATGAAAATCGAAATCGATTTTATCAAGAAAAATTCGCCAAAGAAATGATTGAGAAAGTCGATGAAATGATTTCATTGGTCACTTCATCATTTAATATTCATTTAAATCTTGGACAGAAGATGATTATCGATACACCAGAAACATTTGTTTCATTCGAATCAGTTTCAATCGAATCAATTTCAAACAAATCAATGAAACAAGTTGGAGGAGCAGAAATTCATCTTCCATCGAATGTCACATCTTCTCTCCAAAACAATTCACCTGTTCTTCTCTTAAGATCAATGATGGAACGATTAGCCATTTATGATACGAATAGCAATACGAATCTTTCGACGATGATTTCATTGACAATTCTTGATCGAAATGGAAATGAAATTCCATTTGAAACAACAAAACAAAATCCAATTCGTTTGGTAATTCAACGAGATCCAAATGTTGTGATTCCACCAATGATTTATCATAATGTTTCAACATTTAATTCTTCTTATCATAATCAAACATTTCATTATCATTTTGTGAATATTTCATCTTCTTTACCAATTTCCATTCATCTCGAATTCGAACCAATCGATGTGAATTTATCTTATTTGTTAATTTATAAATTTGATCAAATTCCTCGATTAAATCGATCGATGAATGAAATCGATGGATGGAAATTGTTTTGTTCATCTCTTGGCAATTCTCCTTTATTTGTCGACAATCAACAAACAATTGGTCATCAAACATTTATATTTGGTTTACGCGAATTGACTTCATTCGAATCCAATGAATTCTGTTCAAATGGAACTCTTCCAATTCCAACTGATCCAGTTCATTTCACTTCAGATTATCAAACGAGAGTTTATATATCAGGTTGTTATTATCTTAATAAACAAAATCAATGGAAATCCGATGGATTAATTGTTGGATCAAAAACAAATCATTATGAAACCGAATGTTTTTCTACACATTTAACAAAATTCGCAAGTGGATTTGTCATTTTACCCGAAATGATCGATTGGAATTATGTTTTCAACAGTGCAGATTTTCACAAAAATAAAACAATTTACTTAACTGTCATCACTGTTACCCTCATCTACATTACTCTGATGATCTATGCACGGAAATACGATAAAAAAGATTTTGAAAAATTGGGTGTAACACCTTTGTCTGATAATCGATCATCGGATAATTATTTTTATCAATTGATCGTTTTTACTGGTCATAGAAAAGATTCAGGAACAAAATCCAAAGTTCATTTTGTTTTATATGGTGAAAGTGAAAAAACTCGTATTCGAACATTCGATGATCCTCAAAGAGAAATTTTTCAACGTGATGGAATTGACTCATTTATCATGAGAGTTCCAAAATCATTGGGATTATTAAATTGTCTTCATATTTGGCACGATAATTCTGGGAAAGATTCCTTTGCATCTTGGTTTCTTAAATATATAATTATTCGTGATTTACAAACAATGGAAACATTTCATTTTATTTCCCAACGATGGTTTGCAGTGGAAAAAGATGATGGAAAAATTGAACGAGTATTTCCAATTGCAAATGAAGAAGAAAAGAAGAAATTTTTATTTCTTTTATCGAAAAAAGCCTTTCATAATTTCTCCGATGAACATTTATGGTTTTCAATCTTTGCTCGTCCACCATCGAATCAATTTTCACGTGTTCAACGATGTACTTGTTGTTTTGTTTTACTGTTCATTTCAATGCTTTCGAATATCATGTATTATGATCTCTCAAATGAAGCCCAAGTCAAGAAAGCAACGAGTCTATCGTTCGGAACATTTTCCATCACATCAGATCAGGTTCTCATTGGCATAGTGAGTGAATTGATCTCATTGATTCCAAGTATTTTGTTGATTCAAATGTTTCGTCGACTTCAATCCCGTCATAATCGAATAAAGTCAACCTGCGAAGAGAACAAGAAGAAACGTTCATTAACATTTCCATGGTGGTGTTTATTCGTTGCTTATGGAATTTCTCTTCTGCTAGTTATCATTTCGATTTTCTTTATCATTGCTCGTGGAATTGAATTCGGTGATGTGAAAAGTCAACGGTGGCTTGTTTCAGTTCTTTCGTCATTCTTCTCATCGATTCTTCTGACCGAACCAATTAAAGTAACGATCCTCTTTCGCTTGATCCCAACTGAGTATCTCTGTTTCAAATAGATTTTATCTTTGGGAATATTTTTTGCATTTGTTTGTCGCAAATCGAGAAATGAAGATGAAGAAGCAAAAGAATATTTCGATGAAAATCAATTCATGTTGAGCAAAGGTGAAGAAAATCTTCATTCATCAATTGAAATTCTTCCATCGACTCGTCCTAATCGATTAACTCCAAATGAAATCGCTTGTGCTCGACAAATTCGTCTTCGTGAACTTCAAATGTGGAATATTATTCGAGAAATTCTCTTTTCGATTTGTTTTCTTTCTCTTCTCTTCGTAATTGTTTATTCAAACCATAATGAAAACGCTTCGTTTCAAGTTCGACATCTTCGAAAATCATTCCCAGTGGAAATCTCATCAGTGAATGAGTATTGGGAATGGTTAGAAGAAGATTTTGTTGGAAAGATTCGTGCACACAAATGGTACAATGGAAAGAATGTGGAATATCTTCGTGGACATCTCAATGACACTTCAAATCGACTTCTCGGTTGGGCATTGATGAAGCAATCACGAATTCGAACACAACTATGCCCAAAACGAATCAAATTACATTCAATTTGTCGAAATGATTTGAGTTTATCAAATGAAGAGAAACGTTCTTTTTCTCCTGGATGGTTTGAACATTCCACTTCGTTATTTTCTTCATCAATTTCTCAATCATTTCAATATAAATCCAAAGATCGTGGATACATTTATGAATTTCGTGGTTCAATGAAAGATCTTCGAGGAAATCTTTCCGAACTTCATCGATTCCAATGGATTGATCAACAAACACGTCAAATTCAAATCCAAATGTCACTTTATAATCCAAATGTGAATTTATTTACTTTTGTGAAACTTCAAACACAATTTGATTCAACAGGAAATATTGATTTTCAATCTCGATTTGAACCAATTCATTTTTATGGTAATTTCTCTTTTAAAAAAGATAAATCTCATCTTTTCTTTTCAGCTTTTACATCATTTTCTCAATTAATTTGTACAATCATTTACTTATTGTTGATTCTTTATATGATTTTCAATGAAATTCGATCGATTGTCAATTTCAAATGGAAATATTTGCTTAAATTTTGGTCAACAATCGATCTGGGTCTAATCATTTGTTCGATTTCATCGATTGGAATTTACTTTTTTCGATATAAAACCGGAAAAGAAATTGGAAAATTGTTTCGTGAAAGTCAAGGTGATATTTATATAAATTTAGAAGAATCCGTTTATTTCAATGATCTTTTGAATTATTTTTACGGTTTTTGTTGTTTCTTTGGCACAATTAAACTTCTTCATTTATGTCGATTTAATCGTCGTTTATCTTTATTCGCAGAAACACTTCGTTTATCAACAAAAGAATTCGTTTCATTTTCATTAATGTTTTCAATTCTTTTCATTTCATTTCTTTGTTTATTTTATCTTCTTTTTCTTTCAAAAATCCAGTCTTGTTCAACTTTATTCGACACATCACAAATGTTATTTGAAATGATTTTAATGAAATTCGATTCGGATGAATTATCTCGTGCGGGAACATTTCTTGGACCATTTTCTTTAACTTTATTTATTCTTCTCGTTGTTTTCATTTGCTTAAGTATCTTTTTATCAATTATCAACGATAATTTTCGACTCGCGCGGGAAAAAGTCATCGAAGATCCGGAAGTATTTTCATACATAATCAAGAAATTTCTTCAATGGACAGGTAAAATTCATCAATGGAAGAACCTTTTCAACAAATCTTTGTTTTAGGAATAAGAAAACGACCTGAATGGGAAATTCAAGAAGAAAAAGATCAACAAATGCGTGAGAGATATTTCCACACAACCGATACACTTCGATTGCGAACAAATCAATTGGCCAATCAGATAAATCGAGTATGAAATCTCTTTTCTTTGCTTTTCTTTTAAAGTTCTTCATTTCAGATGTATTTTAATCAACGAACAACAAGTGTCTAAACAAAATCTTTTTCTTTTCTCATTTATCGCTTTATTTGTTGTATTTATCAAATATTCAATAAAAAGATATTGAAGAGAAATTTATTTTCACACTTTGATCTTCTGTTCATTCAAAAAATATATAATTGTTAATATAAATAACATTTAAACACTGAGAAAAGAACTATCTTGAGGATGTGTGGGTGAACATTTTTTTATGATTGGAATCCATAGAGCTCATAGAGTTGTATCTGGAACAAACATGATCAGAGTTGAAATACACTCGTGTGTGAATCCGTGTCCAAGATATCCTCGACTCCGAAAATCCTGTGAATAAACTTTCTTAGTCAACAGTATAGATTGTTAACGAACGAACTTCAACTCAAATTCTGTGTATACCCTTTCAGTAGAGGGAAGACTTTTCGGTAGAAAACTGACATTTTCACAAGTTAATTTCTGTCATCAGGTATAACACATTGATAAACACAGATTGTATTGTCGACTAATTACTAACATGTAGAAGTGACTTTCTGTCTGTTCCCAGGTCATAAGTTTCGTTCCGAAAGGATTAATGGCTAGTTGCTTGAAATAATTTTCACTTATAAGCAATAAGGTTCGTCAGAGGGATAGTAGGAAAAAAGGATAAGATCTCAATTTTCACCAAATTTCTAGAAGAATTTCCTGAAGAACTGTGCCGGTGGTTGTTCTCTTCCACATCGGAGATTGTCTTAGATACGACAAAAATTTCTATGCGAATAACGAGATCAGTCCTATAACACAGAATGTCGTTTATTCTACTCTTTTGATAAAATGAAACGTTGCCATCGCTCATAACACTGTGTTCAATAGATTGGCAATTGCTTGATTGAACAATGGGTTCTTTCCTGGATGAAAATACAGGTGAGATGTTTGGTTCCATGGTATTAATGGTTCTCGAATCACCAAACTTTACTAATAGATACATTCGTGATAAACGATCTTTACCTCATCGATCTTATGAATTGTTCGCATATAATCACTTTTCTTGATATAGGCGCAAACTCGCACGTGACACTCTTGTTCGAATGAACATTCCTTCATAATTCATTGATATTGTTGTACCATTATGTTGAAGTCAAATGCGACGTTCTTTGTCATATATTCTTTACTCCAAAACTTCTGAGAGAATCACATATTGGTAGCATGTACGTATAAGACATTACTGGCAACAATTTCACAGATAGATATTAGTTGAAAGAAAATAGAAATATAGAGTTAGCTGCTTTGAAGAACAACACTTTTCTCGCTCACGTTGTATCTTTATCCTTGTTTCTTTTTCTTTTTTTTCTGCAAAAAACAGGCGTGTATATCCTTATTTTTCTTCTCTTTTCACACGAGACATTTTTGTGCTTGGTTTCTTTCTAGAACGTGCTTTTCTCTTTTTCTTTTTGCATACAATAATTTTCTTTGACACGCACAAGGTAGATGTGACGATTTTTCTATTCAAAAGAATCGATTCAGAACGAGCTATTTTTAAAATGTGGTTTGTTTAAGAAGAACTGAATGCAATTCGTTTTTATTTTGTACTTATGAATAAACAATAACAATCGATTTTTCATACATCGTCATCTCATACGTAGATTATCAGGCGTTCTCCTTTTTCATGATGATGAAAGGAATGGAAAAAGAAATTCACTAGGTGAATAAAACGTCAATCTGCATTGTCATCGTGGAAAAAATTGCACTGTAATGTTCAGCGTCTTTTCTTCGTTGTCTGATTCATACTCGTTCTCCTTTTGCCTCTATAATAAGTTCCACTGCGAAAATATTCTCCCTATGAAATTATTAGTTTAATTACTAACGACCAAAGAAAGAGATTTCGATAATATATCTTATTCTAGAAGAAGTTATGACAAGGTTTAACGATACACTAGGTATTGCCTCGAAGAATGTGCCCGTCTATTCCAATGGTGATAAAGATTTCTTTTCAGTAGAACGTCATTATTTCCATGGAGTCTTTATTGGTTATAAATGGCAATGCGTGGAATTTGTACGTCGTTGGTTGTTATTGCGGAAAGGATGCATATTACCGAATGAAAATTGTGCTGCTCGAATTTGGAGTGATGTCAAGGCAATCGAACGAGTTATCGATGGATGTCAGTTTTCATTGGAATGTCATTCGAATGGATCACCACAAGAACCGCAGATCGATTCGCTACTTGTTTATCCTCGTTGTGATGCGCTACCATTCGGACATATAGCAGTTATTAGTGAAGTTGGACCTGGCTACGTTCGTATCGTCGAACAGAATTATGAATTTAATTCTTGGTCAGATGACCACGCTCGTCAGCTTCGATTAGTAGACAAGGATGACTTGTTTTACATTGAAGATGAACATCCCATCTATGGCTGGATGACGATCAAAGATAGTGACAAATTAGGTCCTTTAGATGAATCGAAATTGGATGTGATACTTAAACCTTATCAAAAATCAGTACCGATCGGTACTTTAGAACGCTGTTGTGTTCCTAAGGAGAATGTTCATGTTAAAGACGGTTGGCTAGATAGAAATTCGCCAGCAGAAAAGTATCTCGTCGATATGTATGGTGAAGATCCAAGTCGAAGCATCGATGGTACATATCCATATTACAAGATGGATTTTAATTTATTTCTGAATATCGGCACAGCAGCCAATGAATGCCATCGCATGTTTATGAAAGCGACTGAGCACGTGATCAATAGTGACAATCTACTAGCACGTTTTGAAATACCTGAAATATTCTGGTCGAGTATTCGTCGATCGTGGAAGAATGATCAAGATCTTTTTATGACTGGTCGATTTGATTTCGCATTCGATGGAGAGAAAATCAAAGTATTTGAATACAATGCTGATAGTGCTTCAGTACTTTTAGAATGTGCAGTGACGCAACAAAAATGGGCGAAAGCTGTGGGATTCGAGTCCAATTTAATATCGGGATTTCAAATGCATCGAGTTCTCGTACAAAGCTGGAAGAATCTCAACATTCGGTCGCGTGTTCATCTTTTGATCGATAAATACGAAGACGAAATGATTACTGCTCTATACATGCAAAGCGTTATGAACGAAGCCGGTATTGAAACGAAACTATGCGTGTTACTCGATGATCTCTACTGGAAAGATTCGACTATAGTCGACAATGACGGTCGTCAAGTAACGTTTGTTTGGAAAACATGGATGTGGGAAACGGTGTTTATTGATTACATCGATGCTCAAAAAGAGCGAAATGTTGATCAGTGGACGCCGACAGACGGTGATCATCCTCGTCTCAGCGATATTTTCCTCAACGATCGAATTCGAGTTATTGAACCGTTGTGGAAAGTCATCGCCAGCAACAAAGCACTGTTGCCGATATTATGGTCGATGTTTTCCAATCATCCAAATCTATTGCGAACTGAATGGACGCTTGTGGATGAATTGAAACAGAAAGGTTATGCGAAAAAGCCAATCGTTGGCCGCTGTGGTCGCAACGTGACATTACACAAGTCGGATGGTGATAGTTTTACACATGAAACGACAGAAAAATTCGCCGATCGAGATTGTATCTATCAAGAACTATTTCAATTACCGACCTATGATGGATTTTACAATATCTTCGGCTGTTGGATTGTCCATGGACTATTTGCAGGCTTTTGTATTCGCGAAGATCAACGACTTATTACAAATTACGATAGTTATGCAATGGCATGCTGTATCACTCACAGTTCGAACTCTTTTATTTGACTATATGCATTCTTTTTCGGTGAATTCCTATGAAAAAATAAATCTTGTGAAAATACAACAAAAAAAGTAGCAATGGCGAGTTACTAATAGCAAATACGTTCATGAATGTTAGCACCATCAAATATGAATAGAAAGTTTCAAGCGTCGGTAGACAATGTGGAAAAAAACTGAAACAAGATCTTATTTATCCTTCTGATTTGGATCCAGAATGATCAGGTAACCCCTAGGCATAGCTGCTGTTTGATCGTATGTACACATCATTCTCATTAAATGCTTCAAATCTAGCCAATGATAAGGTCGTATGGAATCGCTCGTATCTAGAATGAGTACTTGCTCTGTGGCTTCATTAAATCCAGCCACTAAACTGAAATGGCCATTTCGATAAATTTCACCTTCTCTAGGCCATTCAAACTGTCGCCAATAATTGATAATCAAAAACGTTTCTGGATTTTTTATATCTTCCAGAAATTGTTCTTTGAATCTTTCTTGGTTCGAATGTTGAATAATTGTAGAAAGTCCACATGCCGTAATTATACTAGATAAATCAGTCAGTATAATTCCATCCGTCAGATATTTCCTAGCAGTCGTTGAATAGATAGATGATTGCGTCCATTTTGACGATGGTAGAAGAGTATTCAACAGGATTGAAGCACATGCAATGCCACAAAAATCATCGCGCTCTTGAAGTTCAAAATGAGGATGAAGACGATCGAAAGAATGACGCAGCGACGTTGTAAGCAGATCCTGACCATCACCAGACTTCGCACAATTAATCAACGATAGATACCAAAGATCTAGAGGATCTTCATTCAAGCTATGGGATTGAAGCATATTAATGAAAGACTGTACAAACTGAAATAGCGTGGCAACTTTGACGAAATACAACGAAAAATGTACCCACGTGGCAAGTTGTCTCACAGCGCCAAAACGAGCAGGTACATAGATACGTTTGGATTGATTTTTCTCTGCAATATCAAAGAAAATATAAACTGCTAAAGAACAAACTAGAAATTGTTTCGAGAAAACAGAACGCAAACGTAGTTGTTATATGTTGCATATAGAAAAGAAGAGAGAACTAGCAAACGCCCGGGACGTAAAAAAATATATTTTGCATTAGAAGAGAGAGAGAGAAAAAAAGAAAAGAACAAATTCTCTCAAAGAGAATGATGGAAAAGAAAACGAGATTAATGTGACCGGTAAAATTTGATCGAGAGAGTGGATGGATCAAGGTGTAAATCATTCGCATGAAAGTATAATCTTAAGTTGTTCGCTATGGAACTTTCAATTTAAATTAAGAATATGACATTCGTTCATTGGGTTTCGAATGAGCGGAAAACGGCAGACTATAATAGTACTCTCGCTTAACAACAGCTAAGTTCACTTATTAAACACGATATCTCACTGAAATATTACAAAAAAAGACGTAGCGTGAAGAGAAATAAATTCGTTTTGTTTTTTGTTTGTTTTGTGCAGATACTTATGAAATTATTGCCTTATGTAATCTTCAAATTCGCCAAATAGGAGAATAGCAACGTGTTCAATTCGGCCATGAAAATATTATGAACAATAAGAAAAACTTTCAGTGTGGTGTGAAAATGAATATTTAATCGGTATTTTCTCTTCTCCTAGTTACTCTAATTTTAATCATCGTGTTTTGGTAAATAAAGAAAAGAGAGTGTTATTAGGAACATACTGAAAACCTTACCACTTGAAGAAAAATGTTTGTTTAACGACCACAGAGAAAACAGACAGAGAAAAAGTTTATTTTCCATACGCATTTCATCAAGATGAAACATTCAGTTAGCAGAACGCACAGCTTGCTTAACTGTAACAATGGCAAATTGTACGATGAGAAGAGTTTTCAATACTCGCAATGAGGTGGTTATCGATCGAACTTCATCTTTTTATGAACTCGAACCATTTGACTCCATCGTACAAGCATTAAAATGGCGACAGATTCGAAAACGTGTGCCTTTATGCATCAAAAAGACATTGTGCAATCCATTTATGCTGCCAAATCTTATTTATGTCGGTTATGCAGCTACTCTCTTATTCATTGATTTTAGTGCAAGTCTCAATGCATTACTAAATGACAATAATACCACAGTTCAGAGTACTTATGCTTTTCACCGTAGCAATACAACACTGGTATCAGTCCTTGATCGACCCATACAGAATAATCCATATATAAATCGAATTTATTTCGGTAAGATTTATGCGTAATCTTCTCGTTTCGTGGAATTTTCGTGTACTTTCTAGTTTTAGCCATTGTTAATATAATCATGGCTATTCTCCTCTGTTGGGCTTGGCGTGGGCGATCAGTATTTGATATTGTCATGATACCTGAATATTTGAATATAATTCAAGCTATACTTTACCTATGGTCTGCTATGTGGTACCCCAAACAGGATACTCTCGGCGGTTATTTTACGATGGCAGTACACAAAATTGAACTTGTTGCATCTGTTATCGGATTATTTGCTGCAATAGGATGGTGAGTAGAAAGCTCCGTCTTTCATGTACTTTACCACGTCGATTTCTTTCTAGGATTGTTTCATGGTTCGTGACGTACACACGTATATTCGGGCGAGGCTACACATTGGATGATCCAGATATGATTGCCACTGTGGCAATGATAGCTAATGCAATTATTTATCTAGTATATAACATCCAACTGATGGTTTCACCTGAACACTACGAAAGTAATACGTTGTACAAATCTGGGGATATTTGTGATTTTATCGAAGCGTGTTTTTGTGTCTTTGCTTGTTTACGAGACGATGATTGGTTCTGGTTTCTTCCGATAGCTGGACAATATGGTATTGCATTAGGACGAGTGCAAGTAGAAGCGAAAACTTTCCCCCAGTTCGGCAAAAATCCAATACTTTTAACGGATGCGTGTCGAAGAAGAGCCAAAGTGAAACGAAAGCAGCGCAACGATGTCCTCACTGTGCCAATATTCGTACCACATCGTTTGAACAAACGATCTATTTCAACAACCATCTAACTATATCAATCTCTAGGATGCAATTGGACTTGTTTTCTGTTTTTCTATCATTAACATATTGTCTCAAATTATTGTTTGTAACTTTTGAATAGTAAATGCTTCTTTTCAAAGTTCTTCTGCTTACAGAGAAGTGAAATTAATTTCTAATTGTAACTGTATTTGGGTTTTGCGCTGAACTTTAATAAATTATGGCGCACCGAGTTCACTTTACAATTATCTCCATCTCTACTTGTTTCCTCATCCTTTGCAGCTTTCTACGTAGAAGTATTTTCTCCAGATCCAACATTTAAGGATTGCTTACATCTTATACTGTTGACAATTAACCGAAACGCACATTCAGAAAGCAAGTTGACACAAAATAAACTTGATTTGTTCTATTATGATTAAAAGATAGAAGATCGTTAATAGTTATCAAAACTGTTTCAGTTTTAGATTATTGAATATATGTTTCGTCGGATTTTTTTTGCTTTGACAAGAAAAAGGCTGTGAAAGTCAGATTTCACATGAGCAATCTGGCGGAAAACCGACTTCAGTAGCTCGGTAATTGATGAAGTTGAAATAATCAATTAAAATCGAACAATATTTGCTTGTACTCGGAAAATACTAGATTTAAAATGTCCCTTTTTAAGGATTGAATAACTTACTTCTTATATTTAAAGTCTGTTTCTGTAAGATCTTTTCTCCATGTAACATTGTTTAGTATAAATAAAGTACAAGTTTCTCGTTGCTAAATATTATATGTCATGAGAATTACAATGGTGATGTGTATATGACAGAGAAGTACAATTCACTCCAATTTTGCTTTAACTAAAACTTTTTCATAAAGAAACTAGGGTATTCATATTGTTGAATATCATAATGAAATCTGGATTGAAACTACGATATGTTAACATAATAAAATGATTAACGTAAGCAGTTCTTCATCAAACGATTATCAATATATCAAAAAGCAGATCAATTGAGAATCTGACAGTCACTATTCGCGAATGTTGTGTTTGACCGGACTATTGTAATGAAATTGCTCGCGTATAGAGACAACAAATCGTGGTAGTGAATTTGAATTGTACTTTTCCCTGATTGAACTGATCCACATATGTAGCACTGATTTACGTCTTTCGAGTTCGTAAGTGGGTTAACACAAATCAGCAGTTTGAAAAGCTGTTTATTTGATAGAATCGTGCTTCGTATAACATTATTCAGCCAATCACAACTCTGCGTTGATTCCATAATATTTCTAAAATCGTCTTCACTTCAGGTAAAATGTCTGTTATTCTATGACCCACACACTCTGTTCTTTTCCCTGTGAGTCACTGTGATTGCGTAAGAAGAAATATGCGTCATTGGGTATTTTCGTTTTACTCTGTGTATATAATTATTTGCTCCTTTGATATTACATTCATTTCGTTTTCGCATTTGTCGACGATTTTTTTTTCTGCTGCACTGTCGTGTTCATTAGGTTATTTTATTATCTCTGTGTGTGTGTGTAATATTCATTTGCTTTTTTTTTGTTGGATTTTTTTCGTATTTGAAAATAAAACTTTGAAATATGTATCTCAATGTTCGAAGTGAACCTATGTCTTTTATTCGTTATCGATTCAAGTCTGAGAAGGATTTCAAAATCTTTCCTTGTAATCAGGTAGGTTGTGTCGTAAATCAGCTCAGAGATTCTCTTATCGGTCAGTCAAACAAAAAGAAATTACGTCGTTGGAAAGATGATACTGTTTATATCGTCAAAGATGCTTCGACCGATCACGGTATGTTGTCTCAGCTATATGATCTTTCAACATCTATATCTGCCAGTGTTTTTAGAATATCAGAATGGTAGCGATTTCATTCCACTCTACAGAAGTGTTATTGTGACTCGACGACCACGTGAGATTTACAAGCCATTAACTCCGGAAACAGTCCAAAGTGAACGCCGACAACCATCTGCGTTAGTTAGTGGCGTTATCAAAGAGTGAGAAAACACATATTTTCTACTTGAAGAAGTTAAACTAATCCAATGCATTTTTGTATCGAATTATTTAGATATCAACCAAACATCAACGCGATGCGACACAGATTCAAATCTACAGAAACAAGTGCTAACCAGTCGACAGGATATCCTTACAACGGTTCTGCACGATTGACGCAAAGCTCCACAATGACGACATGTGTAAAACCCAATTCATTCCTAAAAAGATTAAATCATACTTTTTCAGTGAAAGAGGACACTACGATTTTTAATGTGACTAACACTAATCTTGTACAGGTATTTTCGAATAAAGGTCGAAGTGATCAGAGGATATCTGTCAGTTCCTGCTCTAGTTTTCCATGTTCAAATACTGCTTATCAACAATCACCACAGTACTTTGCTCGTAATCGAGGTCGAAAGTTCCATTATGCTCAACGTTTTTCACCGTATCGATCATTCTGCAAACCAATAGCAAATACGCCTGTTAACTAGTTTCACTGGACAAGTTTTTTTTTGTTGATTTTGTGTAGTTTATCAAATTAAAAATACTAATAAAAATGTGCTTTTAAACCGAGTGTGTTTTTTTTTCTGTAATGTATATTTTATTCGAATAAAACGTATAAAAAATAAAAATGATAATCTTGATCTTTTGATTGCTCTTGAAACCTGTTTGTATCAATTCGAAACAAAAATAGGGTTATATCCCTGAAGTATGTCATCTGAATAGAAACAATGTATTAAGGAGTAGAGAAGTGATCCATTGGAAGTTCATTGAGATTTTATCAAATCAACTAGTCGATTTGACGAATGACGCGTTTTTACATCTGTATTCTACTTCACCAGTTTTATGTTTATGCATTATTTATTAGAAACAGAATGAGAATGTAAGACAAAAACGTGCTATACTCATCTATACAAACATAAAAAGTAAAACAAAATATATTTTTAGCAAAGTCCTGTAAAATGACTAATTCGATTTCTTGACATGTAAATTAACGCATTTCGTGCTTAAATTTTAAGTATTAGGAAAGGGCTGACGTGAGCCATTTACAATTTTGAAATAAGGTAGTTCGATTAACGTAATCTTCAATTCGATACTTAAATAAACGCATATCATCACGGTACAGTTTGATCAGTTCGCAAATAAGATCATCTGGCAATGTGTCGTAATAAGCTTGGTAATCCCGCTTAGAAAGACCTGATGCACCATTTCGTCGCTCAATATTCCAATTAGATATATTGTAAAGCTTGAGGAACCGAGATAAATCATCATTGAACATTTCATATTTACCAATGAAGTTATACTTAAATTTACAAACTTGACAGAGGACGGAATAGGGTTGCCAGTGATAGTTCATGCGAGCAATTCCATTAGGTATGTGAGTTATGGTAAGAATATAGCGAAGGAAGTCTTCGAATGACGGCACCGTATGCATGCATGAATCTTGTGTTGGTCTTAATGAACGAACTCTTTGAGACACCACGCGTTGTTGGCAAATTTCTGTGCGCATGGCGTCGTATTCGGGTTCGGGCTCAATTCTATCCTTGGCAAGTGTAGCAATTCTCTCTTTATAAGCCGATGCTAGACGTTCAAAAGGATGACGAACGAAAATAACTCGATTGAAAGATGGTGTGAATATCTCTGCTAAACTAGGAAGATTGTTCAGGCGAAAATAAGGGAATGCGAATGTGAAACGAAGTCGCCAAGGATTAATGAGTTTCGATGAAGACGATGTATTGATCGTACCAAATTGAAGAATGTTGAGATACATGTGAAGAAACTCAACAGCAGATTTGGGCATCTCCGATTTCGGGATGACAACTCCATTCTAAAAGAATGAAATGTTTAAGTTTCCAATGATAGAATGAGCATCTAAATGTCATACAAATTGCAGATCTTTGATAAAAGCAGAAATATTAATCATCTTTTCTATCTGTGCTCTGTTAGTGCTAACATTTGTCCAATTATTCTCGACATGATGAATAAGATCACGCACATGCACATATAGTATAATATTTAACAGAGTTTTCGTTGCTATTTTTGGAACAGGACAGTACATTAAAGAACTGGACTGTAAGACTATGGATATCATATTGACTAGTTGATGTGGATGTACAGAAAGATGCTTGGGTGAGTTTTCCGATGGACATTTCATTAAATAGGTATAATTGTGACTTACGTTATGTAAGTTCGGCGAATATTGGTAGATTATCGATGCAGCTGGATAGAAAGCACTTTTCAGATGTTTTCATCAGTTAAATTTCTTTTTCTCTTACTCGTGAAAACAACACGTGTACGGCTTTGGATCACAATCAGGAAACCTATCAAGGCAATTATATGTAGATAATATTTCTTGTATATTCGAAAGTAGCCGGTTGTGAAACTTCTTCTAACAAGGACATTTGAATCCATGGTAACAAAGTAAATGAATGTTTCAATACAGGATGGTCTATTTCAGGTAATTAGAGTAGAATAATCATCATTCTAAAATGAACTCATAGTGTAGATCACATTTGTTATGTTTATAAATACTCGGTAAATATAATCGAGTAAAAATCGATAATTTCGCAAGAACGATCGAAAATTGACTTTTAATTGTTATATAGATTCGATATTCTTCTCACTATCGATTTAGTTCAATAAAACTTACTATTCTATGTTATTAGACAGCACATAGTTTGTTGCTGTCTTCTCGTCTTTCTCTAATGTTTCTCTTTGGTAAACGTTTATCGTCCTGCATGCGCTCTTGTTTTGGAAGGAAAGAACAAAAAAGAACGTACTTTTTCGGAACATGACTTCCAAAAAAAGAAAAAGTACGTTATGCTCAAGTATGCAGCGACCATAGTGCCAAACAGGACATAAAAAAGACATGACTACTTTCCAGCCAATCGTCATCAATTTGGATTTAAACAACCTAAAAACAGCAAGTAGTGGGTGGTGATCGTCGTTCTTTGGCTCGATGTGTATTTCTTTATTAGAAGAAACCTGACAAATTTGAAAAAAGTAACTCCTTCGATCATCCATTAAATAATAGAGAAAAAAGAAAAATTTTTACAATTCTGTAAAAACATTAAAGCGATCAATGACACTTCGGCCGCTTTTTAGCAGATCTGTATTGTTGTGCGACATTAAAATTTCAATATGTTGCGACGAAAAACCTGTGATTAACAATGCCACGAGAATGTATCATATCATTCTTATATGAATAGCTGAAACTAATGTCACCTTCATTGTACAAACAATAATTCGTATTAAACCATCGAATACTACATAAGTCAACGTCATAGTTCGAAAGCGATGAATACTAGAATCGTTCTTGTGATTGTGCGATGCTGAAAAAGATATGCAATACATGAAAAGATTCACACTTGCTTGCGTAAACTCTACAGTTGTCACGTTACGCAGATGTTTGTCATTTCAATACTGAAACTTCATTGTATATGTCGTAGTACAGATCAAAATCCAGTTCAGTTTTAAATTGAACTAGTGCAAATTAAAATTCTTTAGTTATTTTCTAACTAAATTCTCTTTTGATGAATATAAAATATGCTGCTCATCACTTTCCATTAAACATAAATTATGACTGATGTTCTAATGTAAAATACTTTCTTCATTATGTCGAAATAGATTTCAACATTTTTCTTGTTCAAGTTACTATTTAAACGGTCGAAACAAAGAGTGATATACCTGGAAGTTAATCTTCTACGTAGTTTAATCATACATAGGCATTTTACCTTAAAAAAGTTCAGTCTATCCTATAGTTCGGATCAAAATATTTTAATCTGTACTGCTATACCTTTGGTTCATTGATCAAACGATTAACGGTTTATGCAAACTAGTTTCACTTAGCAATGATTCAGCTTGTTTTTCATCATACTCCGCTTGTCAGATGCCTTCGTTAATATATTCAAAACATAAGTACGAACACATGCATATATATCACACTGACAACAAATTATAAAAAATAAATCGTACATTCAGCGTAAAAATATAAACGATTACTAAGTTGACGAATATGAAAGTGAATATGGATTTTATGCAGGAAACTGATGATTTCTCAGGAGTCTTTCAAAATTTATTGCATTCCAGTCATTTTCAGGATGAGGGTGGGTGTGATGATGCACCAAAGCATTGACACATTCATGAATTGTACGGTAGATATGGATATACACAATCGGACCATAACAATTTTCGAAAAACAGCATTCTACTTTGTGAAAATCTAGTCAAGCGTACTTTTGTCTCAGACTAATTCTGTTTATCTCATGTGCACTGTCTATTAGAATGATGCGATTTTCAAGAAGAAGAAATCAATGAGCATGTTGCTCCATTTGCGTATACATCTCTTTCGTCAGCAATGGTCACACCCTGCTTTATTAAACAATTTTTCATTTGAAGCGCAGTAGTAGAAATCCGTGCTTGTTCCAACTTTTGTTCTCATTCAATTCATATAATAGTTTATAGTATTAACGCAATTGTTTTTCTGTGACTTTGCAGTTTTTCATAGTTTGTATTACTCAATCTTTTTCTTTTCTTTACTGTATGTTGGATTTTTTTCTGTATGAAAACGTTCGATAGAATAAAATTATATAGATGCAGACAATGCCGACAAATAAACTTATCGTCATTCTTCACTTAACAATTGCGCACAATGGAGAATAACAAAAACATTTTCTTCGATCAAATTGACGAAATTATTTTATCCTCTCTTACGCATCGCTTAGCCAGTCTAGCGGACCCTGATACTAGTCAACAAATCATATGCGCGGTGAAGAACGGCGAAGAATTACAGCATAACTTACTTTGCCAAATTCAAAGCTTAGCGGAAAATAATGACGATGTCGAAGGCTCAATCTACGCCAAACACATCCTATGCGCACATGCTACTTGGCACAGCAGTTTTGTAGAACCGACGTACTTTGCGGATCTGAGCGAACTACTGAAGTCAGCAGATTCTACGATGCGTCAATGCATTCTGTGGGCATTTGCATCGACAATACCATGCACTACCATTCTCATACCAAAGATAATTGAGTGTCTATATGAATATTTACACGATTCTGCGTTGCAATGGGTTGTACTGTTTATATTTCGGAAACTGTCAGAAAATGACGAGTATGTTAAATTAGCTCCCGACGATCGATGGGTGTCGATAATAAGTTTATCGAACGATTTGGAATTAAAAGAGCAAGCCCGTATAACAGTCATTCATACAATGCTCAATATTTATCGGAAAAGAAAACAATTAGCAGATCATATCAAGCTCGAACTGGAGAAATTAATTATAAGCGATAGTACAGCGAAGAAACTTCTTGTTGTTGCCATCAAAACTCTCTACAAAATTGTCGTAAATGGAGCACGTGTGAGTTCGAGTACATCAGACAGGTTATATGAATTGGCAGCCAACAGTGATAATTCGATAACTGAATGCGTTCAAGAACTTCTCGAATTTCTCGACGATGAGCGAAATGTATCGAAGGTAGTACTGCATAGTTTAAGCTCGGACGTAAAAAGAGAACTTGTTGTTACTCGAAACACATTAATCGCGCGTTCACAAGAAAATGTTATTGCGCCTCTTACTGATTCAGTAAATTTTGATCATTTACTCGATACAGTTGTTGATTTTGATTCCACGAGCCATATTGAAATTCAACCAACACGTGTTGAAACAGGTGATAATCAAGCTTGGCATCGTCGGACTGTAAGCGAAATAAACCATCTCGGTTCGCTAGCAAAACAAGGAAGTCTAAAGTCGCAAGACTTCCATTACTTGAGCGACAAGATGGACAATGGTTGGCGCTGGCTTTCTATAACACGGCGAACTACAATGCAGAAGCTCGTTGCTAATGCCTTTTTGGATGCTGCAAACGCTGGGCAAACTCTACCAGCGCGTGCCATTGACGTCATGATCGATAACTTGCTGAGTACGGAATACGAATTGGGTTTAATTTGTGCTGAATGTCTACTGATAGTAGCACGTCGAAATGAACCGCTTCAACTGAGACATATTGAAAAAATAGAACGAAAGCTCGATGAATGTCGGAACGATCCAATTGATTTCTCCAAAGCGAAGATTATTGAACTTTATGCTCTATGTGTGAAGAATGGCCATCATCTAACATTGGATCTCGAGTTGATCGAAGATCATTTAGTTAAAAACGAAATACCTGACAAAGTTAGCTATCTATACTTCAAAGCAGCGGCTGTAGGAAAGCGAATACTTTCACCAAAACACATGAAGATCCTATGTGACATCGCAAAATTAAAAGATCGTTCTCTGGTGACGCGTCACAATTGTCTAGGAGCTCTTCAGTATAGTATTAAAAACATGCCAAGAAAATGTTCACTGAAACCGGAGCTGATCGATCGGCTTGGAGAGATTTTACAAGATGCAAATGAAGATCTTCGAAAGTCAGCTGCTGTGACATTATGCTTGATTGGTAATGATGAAAACTCGCGTCTCCCCAATCTTATTCTTGAAGGACTTACAGTTATGTTACAGTGTGAAGATCAGAAGTTGGTATGCAATATCTTATCTATCTATATGAAGTTAGTCAAAGCAAAAGAACGTCTATCTACCAACATTCTAGATAAACTCGTCAATGTTCTTTTCCGACCAGATAACGATTTTGTCTTGCGCCAACAGACGATTTGGATACTGAAATATGCTATTGATAACCATCAGGATTTACCTTCTCCAGTACTGAATGCAATCGAACTCTGTCTCGATGACTCTGAGTCTCATATTCGTAATACTGCCGGACTTGCCTTCATCCAATACTGGCACAAAAAAGTGAAAAAAAGTTCGAATAATGATATCAAAGTCGATAATTTACTGATATTCTTTCGTAATCAGTTCGGATTACAGGTGCAAATTCTCGCATTGCAGTTTCTTCAATATCTAATGAAAAACCGGTACGAATTATCTGATGCATTGTTGGAAGTCATTGAATATTGCCTGGGCGATAAGGAATCTTCAATTGTCACACATGCACTTACTATATTGGACTTGTACATGAAAAGAAAACCATTGTTGGAACGAACAGTTTTATGTCTAGAACATTTACTGACAACAGAAACCGAAGCGATTCCTCAAGTAGTCAAACTTTTGAAGATCGTAGTTGTTTGCCAAGGTTATATTTTATCGGAACGAACAATTGCTCATCTGGGTTGTTTGCTCTTTGGAAAAGGTCATCTTAGTAATATTGCTATTTTACTTCAACTTGCCGATCGCAATCAACCGCTTCCAAGTGATATCATTGATCTTCTTCGACAGCACTATTGTGCCGATGTTCTTCGCTATTCGAATGTTTCGATAAGCAAGGGGAAAGCTGCGAATGAGCTGTTAACTATGACGTCCAATGGACAACACGTGACGGGATCGGTTGTAGAAACACTTTTCAATCTATTAAAGTCGTCACAATTGAGATCATCCCTATTAACGATCTTTGTTAACATCATAGACAATGGACAGCGATTTGAGCATCATCGGATAGACTTTTTCTACAGAATTCTTCTGAGCTCCGAAGAAGAATCATTGATTAATTTGATGAAAATCTTCGCCCAACTCAGCCGTCAGAACTATCTGATCTCCGAAAAAATCGTTCGCTATTTGGCCAAATTCTTGGACAAACCACAGGTCAGCGTTTATGTCGTTGAAATCTACCAGCATCTTATTGAACATCACAAGTTAGTTGACCGGCACATTGCCCAAAAAATCCTTCGATTCTCTAACTCAAATGTATTGCTTGCTGCTGAGCAGAATCTACAACACCGGTTGATCATCTGTTCAAAAACGATTGCCCACCGATGGCCAGAAGAGATCAACCAAGCAGATCTTCCATCACTTCTCGATTTATACTCGTCGTCACCTACGATAAGTCAAGATATTTATTCTATTATTGAAGCTCTACTTAGAAATGGTCTGATATTGATACCGGATGTCGTTGAGAAACTTAAACATCTATTAAATAATTGCGATAATGTTGATATTCTGTCAACAGTAGCGAAAATCCTCGCATGTGCTCAGTCAAACAAACAAGTAGTTCATATTGAAGAGGATGAAAGTTTTGTTCAAGATTTAAACAAATTCTCGCATGCATTATACACGGATGATGTCAATTTAAAAATAGAAGCGGCAAATACCATTTCACAACGACGACTTCTTCCCACTCAAATACTCAGTGCTATTTTTACTACTTTACGCGATGAAGCAATTAATGCGATTACAATTCCCCTACTATTTCAAGCATCGGTAACCCTACCATCATCTGTCATTGATGACCTCTTGTACGTAATGATTAGTTCGAAGCATTCTATCGTACGAGAAACTACAAGAAAACTGCTCCGAGGCTATGTCGAACATGCTAAAGTACAACTATTCTTTGCATACGAACAGGATTGGAATCAAAAGAAAAGTGTTGCAACGATGCTGCAGTCATCGAATCAAGCCGACGTGTCCCGTGCTCTGCAGATTTTCCAAGGAATGCTGGCTCTTGATCAACGAATTCCACGCGAAGTTTTCCTAGCCAGTGCTTGGTTATTGAGTATTCATAAAGATTTAACGTCGGAAATACTGATTCAAGCATTGAAACGTGACATCGAAATGGACGGGGATGTCTATGAAGCAATACAAGATGTTTTTCTAGTTTATCAGTCGAAACAGATGTTTATACTGATTCAAATCTTGACACAGAAGAAAATCGTCTTACAGCTGGAGACGTTAGAAATTCTTAGATATCAAATTATGATCAGCGAAAGTGTTTCAGCTCTCGAAGGCGCTGCTCGAAATCAGCTGTTACCAAAAGAAATCCTTTCATGTCTCATATCTCAGCTTTCCAAAGAGTCATCTCTAAGAATCCTTTCTGTTCTTCGATATCAGATGTTGCAGGGAGCTGTCGACGATCTTCTGGAATACATAACGAAACTTCGACTTCCTGCAATAGTTGACGATGAAAAATTATCCCAACTGCAAGCATTCGATCAATATCTTGGTACACTGCATACTCTACTCTTCATTAATTATTTTGATTCGACCGTATTCGATTTACCACCAGAACAGTGGTCACGAGAATGTTTGTGCGTTGAGCTCTTGACTGGATGTGCAAACAATGAACCTGCTGAAATCGTTGGTTTTTATCATCATTTAACTCTACTTGAACAATATAAAGCATACGATTTGTACGATGATGAACGTGATCTTATCCTCCAGGAACTCATTCGAAAACAACGAACATATTCCTTAAGTCTTTCACATATTAATCAGATCCTAATCTGTTTACAAACGTTAACCGATCATTCACTTGACATTCTCCGATCAGATGCCACAAATTGGTTTATCAATCTTCGCCGATTTTTCATTCTAGACAAACTTGACGAATGTCTCTGTAATGCTATCTATTCGGGAGTCGCCATCAACCACCTTGCCGATCGAATTGCTAAGCAAGACGTGATTTCAGCAGACGTGATCGAAATTTTCCTGAGAAGTGTTCGGCAACCTGAACATATCATCACATATCTTGACATAATTGAAAAACATCAGATTACCAACACCGAGCTCATTCAACTCTTTTCTAATGTATCGAATACTAAAGATTTCATATCTTTAGTGCATGAAATCGAATTGACCGTTGTCAATCGTCTTCTCATACGTCAATGGCACGGTCCTCAAGCACAATTGATATCCGCTCGTGGTTATTTGCATCGATTACTCGAACTAGGATGGATGCTAGACAAACTGATCGGAATGCTCAGCTATGTCCGAACTGACGCTGACTCATGTCAGAGTCTTGCTCACTTCGTCGATAGTTTGAAGACAATATGCCAATATAAAATGAAGGACAATATCGTCGGTAAATTAAACCAAATATATTCAAAAGAAGAAGCCCAGTTGTGGCCATTGTCAGTACATATTTGTGTGATTGAGTACCGATTTGGTTTGACAAATCCAGAAAAGCCAATCTCCACATTATTGGAGGAAATTCAAATTTTGAATAGGATACCATTTCGAACCTCATTCATCGAGATACTAAACAGGATGAATCAGGCATTGAAGTCAAGTTCATTGATATCTAAACAAAAAATTCCGATAAAAGATTGGAATGTATCACACATCAAATCATGGGCGTCGTCAATAAGCCAGCAGCAGAATAAAGACAATGCGAAACGGGACTATCTACCAGAAATTCTCGCAGTTCTCCATCGAGCGATCTATCTTCACTCGACTTTTGAAGTGCGTGATGTTCAAATTTTAGCTATTCTAATTATCCTCGATCGGAATCATGATAGCGGGCGATTGTTACAGGTGTTGACTGGTGAAGGCAAGTCAACAATTGTTTCCATATTGACTGTGATTCAAGCTATACAAGGCAAACGCGTTGATATCGTCACCAGTTCAATAACATTAGCGAAACGTGATGTAAATCAGTGGAAATCGTTTTATGACATGTTCAATTTGACTGCTGCGCATAACAACGATGAGACAAATTATGTCGAAGGATTCAAATGTTGCTATAAGGAGAATATTGTCTATGGTACAGCTAGTCAATTCCAATTTGATATTTTACGCGACGAATTCAGTTTATTGAAAACGCGTGCTGATCGACCCTTTGATTTGGTTATTATCGATGAAGTCGATAGTATGCTAATCGATGAAACAAATGCCACTGCTCGTCTTGCTGAACACCTGCCAGGAATGGAATGGTTAAATCCTCTTTTATATACAATTTGGCAAATAATCAATAAATGTTCCGATCCGATCTCAAATAGAGATCAGATTCTGAAAACGGCTCGACATTTTATTTATAACTCCCAAACACAATTGAAGTATCCTACTCATTTGAGTGATTTCGTATCTAGTTCGCTGCCATTATGGGTTGATCATGGCATTCAGGCCAAAGTTGAGTATCGCCTTGATTACCAGTACATCATAAAGAAAGACGAAATGGGAACATTACGTATTATGCCGATCGATTATTCAAACACTGGTGTCATTCAATGTCATACCACATGGAGTGATGGTTTACATCAATTTCTTCAAATCAAACACGGATTAAAGATGACGCCTCTTACTGTCACAACGAATTACATGTCAAATTACGATCTGTTCACTCGATATAAAAACGAAATTTATGGATTTAGTGGCACACTCGGTTCTCCAGATGCTCAGACGCTTCTAAGCAAGATTTATCAAGTTGATAACATTGTCATACCACCTTGCAAACCAAAACGACATTATCAACTGGAGGCTGTTTTACCGTCAACAGATGAGGATTGGTTGAATACTATCGTTCAGAATACGATTGATCATGTCAATAAACGTCGTGCGGTGTTAGTCATTTGTGAAACACGGATCGATGCAAAGACAATCTTCAAAGAACTGCAACGACAGCAGCCGACAAGTTCGATTCGGTTATATACAGACAATACGGATCGTATCGAATCCAATGTTGTTTCAAATCGCGTTGATTGTGGAGATATTATCGTTGCAACTAATTTAGCAGGACGTGGAACTGATTTGAAAACTACGTACGATGTTGAAAAACATGGTGGTCTTCATATTTCTTTGACATTTCTACCGAAAAACGTACGCGTAGAAGAGCAAGCACTTGGTCGAACATCTCGACAAGGTAATTTCGGCACATCGCAGCTAATTCTTAATCGGCAACGAACCTTCCTGCAGCTTATGTCCTGGTATCCTGATTACTGGAATGCTCATCGTCATGAATTCAGTGATTTGACTGACATAGGCATCGAAACGATATACGACTGGAGAACACAAAGTGAATCTGAACAATTGGATCAGATTTGGAAGCGAGATATTTGTGAACTAAAAGAAAAATCTCGACTTTTCCGAGCGTTTTGCGTATATCTCACTGAGTTGAAGGAGACAAAAGAGTATACCTGTTGTCTATCAAGTGTAAAAGAACAATGGGGCTTATGGCTTAAATCGGTGGATCAACGTGAGCAAGCAAGACGAATGCTGGAAAGAACAATCAAAGAGGCTGGATTTTACTGTATCGATCAGTCTCTTGGCTACCAGAGTCTCTTTGATGTAATTTGTTATCAATTGCGAGATCAAATGAGCGCGGATACGATCAAAAAGAAAATTACCGAACATATATCAAATAATAACAACATTTATAAAGGCAACGAAGAAACACAACGATATTGGGCTATCACTCGTGCATTAAATACCAGCATTCTTATGTTTCGCAGTGACTTTGTTAATCCATTTCTTTATAAAGCTGAAAACACTACATCGACATGTTATATCGGTTATGTTGTCTCTCAGGTTTATCTCGTTCTTGAACCACTCTCGCCTCATACTTATTACAACTTTGACGAATTCGAACAAACACCACCACCCGACAGTGATACAATGCAATCTGACCTATCATGTGAAGAGCTTGCAAGCGTGATAAAACTAAAGGACTCTATATGGGCAAAAGTAGACAAACAAAATCTAAATGACAGCTTTGAAGAGTTCAAAAAACAAACTCGTAAAGAACATGAAGCTAACCAAGCTATTCGAAATCCTTATTACTTGATTTTCGAGGCAGATCATTTAATTACGAAATACTGTTCGCTTATCCATCGAATAAAAACGATACCCAACTTTGTTCCATTCATCAATTGTCGCGATCATATCATAGTTCAAGCTGTAAATCTTTTGAAAAGAGCTGTTGAACTCGACTCTGCCTTTGCATTCACTGCCTTGATCAATCTTGCCTACTTCACGATAGTTCAGCATAAACCGTCAGAGACGTACAAATTGACAGCAAAGTCTTTTTTAATGGAAGCACAAAAACAAATCGAACAGCATATAGTTCCATCACTCGTTTTCATGAAGGCTTTACCATGTAATGAAAACGATGATATTATGCATGAAGATTTCTCCAGACAAATGGAAGCGAAACTCATGGTCATCAGCTCGTATAGCACGTCTATTGAACAAGCGATATCAAATATTGAGAATTCACAGAAATTAATAGATTTTTCTTCGAAATGCAACCAAACAATAAAAACTGCTGAAAAATTATATCGTAAAAAACCCACAGAGTTCATTTGTGAAAATTGTAGGGAAATTAAACTTACTTTTCACAGTCTGACCGTGGTGGAAGACGTTATCAAAACCGATCAAGCATTAGAATTACTCAAGCTGATACCCTCAGACTATTCGCACGTATCAATTGAATATTCTGATATGGATAAGACCAAGTTGGAAGCATTGAGTTCAAATATACCATCGTGTCGTGAGTATCAGAATAACCTACTTGATCCAAATTTGGAATCGAAACAAATGACATTGATTACATCGATCAATATTGAAAGCAATGCTCAGCTATCGGACTCCTCAATAGTGTCTACTCGATCATATGTTGATACTACGGTGGAAATGGTGGAACGTCTTCCTGACGACCAGTCATCCTCCTGCTATTTTGAGAACTTATCACCAGAGAAAGCTCGCCATTTACTTCAGAAAAATACCGATCGAAACTTTGTTCTGCACTTTCATCAGTTGACACATACACAAGCTTTGAAAATTCTTGATAAATTTGATCGAAATGAGCAAAATATCAATGCAAGTTTTAAATCTGTGACTGAGTATCATTTTCAAAACAATCGTTTGACTGAAGAAGAACTCCATGAATATGCAGGAATGGGTATCAGTCGTTTTCTTCTCGTCGAAGAGCTTCAACCACGTCCGATCATTGCTTCTGCAATCGTCGTAACTTTTGGTGGTATTCAAGTTGTTTCTGGCGCGTGTCTAATTGCTCTAACGAATGGAATAGGTGTAACCTTAGGTACATCACTGATTGGCGAGGGTATAAGTGATATTTTCTTTGGTATACAAAGTGTTTGGTCCCGGCATTTATCTTTGAAACAATACAGCATTCAAAAAGGCTTAAGTCTTCTCTTGAGTTTTTCTTCACTTGGATTCTCAACTGTTAATCAAGCGGTATCCATTGCTCGAACTAATGCAGATTTTGGTTCACATTTCTTTGGACAAACAATGAAAGAAACTGTGAACATTTTCAAAAGTAGTTTCACAGCCATTGGTACTACCGCTGCTCCCGCAGCGACAGGACTTTCGTTGACACTGGGACGTAAACAACTGATGACTTTGGGAAAACTAGTGGTCAAGCGACCTATAGCTAATCTTCTATCAAAAGCTTCAGATTCACTAAAGCCTTTCATCCAAGCAAAAATGATCGAACTCGTCAATGAACAGCTAGACAACATCGCATTTGTTAGTACCTTAAATAAAGCTCTGATTGCCGATATGTACTATGAGACGGATCGATATCAAAAGGAAATCGAAAATATCATTAATGACCTTCTAAAAAAGCAAGCAAACATTTGCGCAAAAAAACGAGTACTTGTAAATGCTCTCCGCAAAATTGCGCCTAAATTGGTTAGTGCAGCCGTCAAACTATCAGGAATATTAAGTCAGACGCACAATGTCTCCGATGAAATCTTACTACGTGCAATTGGAGTATACAGTTCCGCTCTATGCGAGTTCGGGAAAGCCTATCAATTTAATGTAGAGATGCAAAACCTATTTGCGACATTCTTTGAGCAATGCACCACGCTGAAAATACCGACCTTCAAGGAACTTCTTCACCATCGTTCGGGGTGCTTAATTTCTGAAAGCACAGCCACTGAAATTTATGAAGAACTATTGAAACACAAATTTGTTCATTCTGATTACGGCACGGATGCTCTGTATGATCGACAGAACTCGGACAGTGATTTTAGTGGACAAACTAGCAGCTGTGCTCGTTCAATGTTTCAAACTTTTGCAAACCATTGGACAGAATTCTTCAAGAAATTCGAACACATCGATGAGGATCAAAAGCAGCACGTGCTGCACGTCGTTCGAATCTTTAGCAAAGCGAATCACAGTCTCTTGAAGAAAAAATTTCGTCAGAAAGTCGTCGATTTATTCGTTGAACACATTGTTACGGATTTATACGATGAAATTATTCAACCACTGATCAAACAGATTGTCAAGCGAGCAACTGATTTTCTAGCAGACCAGCTCGACGATGAATGTGATACAAAGGATAAATCAATAAAATATCGAAAAACTCCCAAGAACAAAACAAATCACCGAGATTCATTCCATAATGACTTGATTGAGAAATTTCATGACTTGATTGGAAATGACAATTTAGTCAATCTTCTCGGTATCCTTGCTGCTCTGAAAAATCAACCGATTTCGATTGTGCAAAAACAGATCGAAAATGGTTCAATTCAAAATATAGAATCCAAATGCGAAGCATTTGTTCTGACGAATCCGCGATATATGGAAGGTATTATATCGATTATTTATTATAATTATGCGTGCCGAAAGGTAACTGCACGAGAAAATTTATCATCGACGGATCATTTCTATTTTCCATATGAAAAATACGACGCATTCCAACGGAATATGAAAGACCTTGTCCAACAAAATACACACCAATCGATAATCCTGAGTCACTGGTTAACATCAAATTCTCTTCATTTTGATATCGAAACGACAACGTTTATTCTTTTGTATCCACAAATGAAATTTTTAGAACGAACCGGTTTCAAATTAAATTCGATCCGTTTATGCAAAAGGGTGCCTAGTGATGCTGATCAGGAAGTTGTGTGCTTCGTCTATTGTTCGTATGAAGGTGTCGATCGAACGGAACGCTTAGAAGAATATGCCAACAATATGCTGTCTATATTGAATCCAAATGACAACATTCGAGAAGACATAGTCGCTGACTCGCCGATCGTGATTGTAAACATGTGTCTGGATAAATATTTTCATTATATGTTGATGAAGAAAGAAATAATCATAACCGATGCTTATGATGAAATCGAAACACTATTATTTGCATCAACCTCAAAGAATATTCACCTGTAAGTTACAAAACGTAACTTTAATGAAAATCATCTGTGTCATTTCGCTACTTTTAGACAAACTATTCCAGCTACTGCAACATCATCAATCTTAGGAAATATTTTGTTTAAGATGTGTCAGCTTCTCAACAGCGACACTTGACGTTTACACTTACAAGTTTGAGGAAATGTAGTTTTTTTTTAGTCTCAAAAATAAATAAAAAACTTCGAAAAGAAATTCAAAAGATCAACTATGACATCACTCAATATGCCATTGAGTGAAGATAAATAGAGCCAGAGAAGATCATTCTATTGAATTCCCGCACAACAAACTCTCATCCAACTTTACTCCAAAAATATTATAGCCATTCACATCCTCACCTTTATCTTGAAATATATAACATTTACGGACAATATACGATTCACTCTCATCCACTGTATACGAATGTTAAAATTATTCGTTGATGCGTATACACGTGTACGGATAAAGTGCTTTCTTTCCTTTGTATTTTTCGACGTGCGTCATGAGTAAACTGATAAACATAAACAAAAAAGAACAGCAATATTTTTTTCATTCGTACAAACGCTATATATAACGAAAACAAACAAAAAGAATGCATATGCGTACTCGTTTACATGTCCTTCTAGTTTTAATAAGTCATAAATGTTGATTCAAGGAGTGTATCTGTTTTAGATAGCGGATAGATGGTGTTTAAGCATTTGACCCTTCATTTTCTCGAGAAGTATCTGGGAGAATACCTTGAGGATTTAGATACCAAAAAACTGAAAATTGGATTATGGCATGGGAATGTGACGATACGTAATGTTCATCTGAAAACGAATCGATTGGTAAATACCAGCGAAGTAAATCATATTTATTTTGACGTTGAGTTTCAGGATGATTTCAATCTTCCGATTCGAATCAAAACTGGCTATCTCGGTATGTTTATTTACGCTTCAATTGCAGTACTTCGAATGTATTTGTAGAACAATTAACGATTCATATTCCATGGAAACATTTGCATGTTCATCCAACGCGAATTTCTGTCCAGGGATTTTACGTCCTCCTAGAACCTAAAACCGGTCGGAATCTATTCTTCTTCTCCTTCTGTTTTGCAAATACTAACTCGCCGATTTAGATATTATCTACGACGCTCGAAAACAAGAAGAACATGAGTATCAATCCAAAATGAAACAAGTCAAAAAAGTTGAAAAGTATCGTCTGAAGAGAGAGAAAACCGGTAAAGATTTTTCTGGAAAAGTATTCTTCCAATCATAATTCGTCTCTATTTCAGAATATTCCAACACGCATAATAAACACAGACAGACATTTTTTCAACGTTTGAAATTTCATATTCTTCGAAATCTTGAGGTTTCTATTGAAAACATTTACATTCATTATCAAGATAAATATATCAAACCTGGACATCCATTCACATTCACTGTGATACTCCATTCGATCAGGCTGACCGTATAAACGAATGTTTTTTTTGTCTGAAAGAAACACACGATTGATTTTTATTGTAGAGAACCAATTCCGAATGGGAAGATGTGCATACGAAAGAACATTCTAAGATACTCTACAAAGTAACTTATTACGTCGCGTCGATAAGAAATTGCCAACGAAAACTATCTTTTAGATCGGCGAATTGAATCATTTATCAATGAGTTGGAATTCCGACGCGCAATTCGATGGCAATTTATCCAAGGAAGATCTCATCGTATGTACTTCGCATTTCTTACGGTGTATCTTTGAACGGACTTGCATTTAGAACTATCTCAAAGCAGATAATCTACAGCAAAATTACAGTTAATAATAATTCTTTGTTCGAATGTCACGGAAAGAAGATTAGAATTGCTTATTTTTCAGTTCTTCAACCATTGCATGCGTCAGCAAAGCTAGAAATCGCCAGAAAAGCCGAGAAACAGCATTTTCAACAACCTGTTCTGCAGAGCGAAGTTCTTTTTCAAGAAATTAATTTGAATATTACTCGAAATCAAGTCAGAACATTCAACGAATCTTGCAAACTCTTTACATCTCATTTTGCTTTAGTATTCGGACATACTTGATTTGCTCGAATATCACAATTATTATGATTTGAAATCCAAATACATCAAGTACTATACATCGATCGATATCTCTCAGCATGATAAACCGAGCCGACGACGGTTATTGAAAGAGGAATGTATGTGACCAAGAAAAACATTTTCGTTGTTGTGTTTAGATGGAAATTTGCTTATAATGTGATTTTGAATGAGCAAATTCGTCCTCGACTTGCGTCCTATCAGTGGAAAAACATCAAATTGCACTTAGATCGATCGAAGGAGTATTATAATCTCTATTATCAGCAATTAACGAATCATCTTCCTAATGAACACAAGCAATCTCTTGAAGTATATGATGACAATCTTCGTTTCCTCACTTTGTTTCTACGAGATATTCGAATTTCAGGAATTAGAACGACAAATGAATGCGTTCAGTTTGATTTATGTCCGACGAATTGCTCAAATCAAAGTAAAGAGAAATCAGAGTCTTCTAGTTACTTTATGAACAAGATTGATTGTTTAGGCAATGAAGAGAAAGTTAATGAAAAAAGAAAGAACTCAATGGGATAAGCTATCCAATTGGTTTAATCATCATCGTCACCGTCATCGTCATCATTACGAGGAGTTGGGTACGTTAATCTCTTCTAGTTTCGATACTTCAATTGAAAGTCTCTGTATTCTTTTAGATTTTTCATCGGATACTGTTATGTTAGAAGAAGAAAAGGACAAACTCTATGAAGCGATGGAATATCACGATGAGCACAATACAATAGCTTATCCACCGGAGGTATATCATTTGATTTATAAATTTTGCTATATATTAAAATTTCTTTCAAATAGTATGTTGATATTAATCTTGCGATTCGATTAAACGTGATTACAGTCAATATTCTGTCAAATATTAACGAACAGAATGCAGAGTTTCGAGTACTTATCGGCGCAGCTTTATCAAATCTTGATTTTGTGTATAAACACCGTCCGGCTGCAAATAATTTTTCGTAAGAGTCAGATTATGTTGTTAAGACAATTCAAATGGATTTTCCTCCTAGATTTGAGGTCAATGTCGATACATTTCAAATATTGGGCAATTCAGCCGAAACGAATCAAATTAGTCTTATTCAGTCGCACGATAAAGTAAATCAATTGTTACATATCCAATTTGCAACGAATCCAGTCGATCAAAACTGTGATTATCATCTAATTGCTCGTGCTAAATCTCTTGATTTAATCTATCATACAAAAATTACTGAAAAACTTATGGAATTCTTTCTTCCTGAGAAAGAATATCATTTGGAAAAGTAAGAAGAAAGTCGAATCGTTTTTTTGGAAATTATATATTGCTTGTGATGACGCTTTAAGGATAAAAGAAGCTGCATATTCAATTTACACGGATATACAAAAGAATACACAGTTTCTATTCAGTGAAAATCTGAAGAAAATCAAAGCATTAGATCTAGACATTGATATAGAGCCGTTATTTATTGTATTGTTGGGATGTGACGAGAAGTCAAAGTGAGTTCTATTTAGATTTTGTGACATGCTGAATTCGCTTTTACCTTTCGATAGTCGGGTGGCATCAATTTGTCTAGATTCAGGCCATCTAACATTCAAAGGTGGAGAAAAATTTCGCCAAGAAATACTTCAGCATACTACAGTATGCATCTCAATTAGATATCTTTTGTATTTTCTCGTAAAATTTCACATTATATAGGATAATCAGCACCAGAATAGTTCATCCTTCATTCCATTGAAATTTGCGCTTGAAAACACCAAGTTAGTGTATTGCGAGAAAGATTGGAAACAGGTACTTGATGAAAATAACTCTTCATCGCATATTATTCAACCAATAGCATTCACCTGTGATATTTACAAATCAGTGTGCACAGATCGTATGGATGAGCCCATGTAAAGTACTAGTTTCGCTTGATTTATCGGAAAATCATTTCTCTATTTAGCTGGAATATTACTAGTGGTGTTTCGAGGGTGATATCTAATCTATCTGATAAGCGTATATCAGAAATAGTCAAAGTCTTTCAATCTATTCAACTGCCACAAACGCGAAGACCATCAAACAATCCATATAAAATTCAAGTTTGTGCCACCTGTTTGTAATCATATGTGGCAAAACTCATTTCTTTCGATGATTAGAAATTGAATTCAAATGATAAAAAATATAAACTTAGCGTAAAACAACTTTATCGAGCCGTGGAAGATATTACATCAGCGACAACAACTGTTTATGAGGAGGGAACTCAACAGAAACAACTCGAACCACATCGGCAATTAACTGAAATTCAGCTCTATTTCCAGATTCCTTCCGTAAGTTCAATGCATGTATATAAATTAGCTCGCATACATATTTACAGATCAATTTATACCTGAATCAATGTTCAACAGATGTAAGTGAGCCATTGATGGAAATCGTATTGACATCAATCGTTACTGAAGCAAAAATGAAAACTTACGATATTGAATTTGATTTGTCACTTCAAGATGTAACTATCATTCATCAACAGTTCAAAACAGAGGATAATAAGAAATTTTCGCTGTTGAGCAAGCAACATCAAAATAAAACTTTTACAATCGCTGGATTACTAACATCGGTTGATAATCCATTATTTTCAGCGGCTCCTTATAATTCAATTGAGAATCAAATCTCGATTACTATGAGTCAACTCATCTTAAATATTCAATTAGAAATAATCCAGTCAATTCTGATGTTTAAAAATAACATTTCTAAGCAATTAGTATTCAAGCCGTCAACTAAAACACAATCTGAAACTATTACAACTGATACGAAAACGGTTCAACGTTCTGATTCACAATCATTTAAGATAGTATTCAACAATGAAGAATTTGGTATTCTGATTGGGAATGAATCCTCTCAATTATTTTATATGGCATTGAAAACCATACAGGCTAGTTTCTGTCGCACACGAGTGAAAATGATGGGTCACTTCATTATACATGACTTCGTTCTTCTCGATCCATCAAATCAATGTCGATTTGATGCAATTGTTTCAAAAGAAAATAATCAGAATAATTTGCTCTCACTAGATTTCTCATTATTCAATTATTCCGAAAATCGCTCTCCTCCAATAGACTCATACGTTAAAGGTCGTTTGGATAAACTCAATATAGTTCTTCTTTATAAACATATTCAACTTCTTTTAACTATTATTCAATCCTTTAATCAGAATACTTCAAAGCGAAAGAAAGTTTCTCGAACGAAACAACAATCTTCATCTTCGCACAGTCGATTNAATTTGCTCTCACTAGATTTCTCATTATTCAATTATTCCGAAAATCGCTCTCCTCCAATAGACTCATACGTTAAAGGTCGTTTGGATAAACTCAATATAGTTCTTCTTTATAAACATATTCAACTTCTTTTAACTATTATTCAATCCTTTAATCAGAATACTTCAAAGCGAAAGAAAGTTTCTCGAACGAAACAACAATCTTCATCTTCGCACAGTCGATTTTCAAAACTTCATTTTCAAATCGAATTGCTGGGACCAAGACTATTCATACCCAAGCATTCATATTCCTTTGAAGCTATACTGGTTGATTTCGGACAAATAGCATTGAAAACTGCCTCGCCGAAGGATGAAACATACGTCCTCGCCTTTAAAAATTTATCAATCAATCGTGTGAAAATGAATAATAATAATCAAGTTATTGAAACATTCCATTTATCCGAATGCTCATCATTGAATACATTTATCAACTATTGCTCGAATGTGGAAAATATTCAATCGGAACAAACGATGCTGTCGATAAAAATACAGTGGAATCAGTTGGATTTCACAATTGCTAAAGATGATTATCTATTTCTGATACAAATGATCAAAGGAAATTTTACCGAAAAGATTTCTAGCGGTGCGCCTCCGAAAGAACAGAGGAAAGGAAATAACGAACAATCAAATGTAAATAACAAGAAAGTGTATCAATTACTCATGATCGACGTCCTAACGAAACGAGCTAGTTTGACGCTTTGCAAAGATCATATGTCAACACCTGATTCGAAATTGCTTTGTTTCAATCTTAGTGACCTTCAGTTAGATTTTCAGTTGGCATCAAATGCAACTTATCGAGGAGAAATACATTTACACACTCTGTTTGCCGACGGTTTGTGTCAACCTAATTCTCAAAACTCCATTTCACGTTTAATAGATCGAAAGTTTGATCTAGAACAAAATGCTCCAATTTTAAGTCTGAGTGCATCATCCGAACAATCGACTATCGACAGTCGGTCGATGTCTCTGCGAAGAATATTTTCGATAAACGGACAAATTCAAAGCATCTACATTGGCATTAGTGTTACATACTTACTTGCTTTGAAAGACTTCTTCATCATAGATCCATCAACAGCAGAAGGAGCACCATATCCTCTTGAAACAACTGCTCATCAATCGAAATTACAGAATATACCAACTCCTGCTAAGCACACATCAAACTCTAATTCAATAGAACAGGACCTGTGTACAAATGACGATTTACAAACAGTTGCCAATAACCAACGTACGTACTCTCTTTTGCAAGAGATAAGTATAAAAACTAGATTTTCATGTTGATGTTTCAGATAAAGAATCTTCTGTTGAATTAAACATCTCTTTTACTATGCAACCGTGTCAATTCATTTTTATTGAAGATGAAAAGAACAATCATTCGAATTGCCTTGTTGCCGAAGTAAGTTTAGTGTTTTGAGAATGTTGATAACCTGCTGTAAATTGAAGTTACCTGTCGTGTTCAAAATGACCAGTCTGAGTGGAACTCAGAAAATCGCTGGTTCAACAAAAGATCTGCTCGTTTATGCTTCTAATTTTGACGAATTAAGACAGTCAGGAGCCATCAAATATCGTGTAAGGACATTTTCCCGAAATTTTCTCTTTCTTTATCTCATTTCTAAACACGTTCAAGATATTGAAACCATGTGAGATTTCTCTATCTGTTGCAATAACAGCTGCTGAACAAATTATCGATGTTCATATCGGAGATATCTCTATTGATGTCAATCCGATGTTAATTCGTGCCATCATTTCGATTGTGAAATCGTTGAACAAACAACAAGTATGAATGTACATGTTTATTCCACTAAATATTCATATCAACTTCTTCGATAGGCAACTATGAAACAGGAGAAGGACAAATTCGATTCAAAAACGCTATTCGATCCCAAACCATTCAAAGATTCGAATTTTTGGTTCATCCAAGGTGATTTTCATCTTTCTATGTTTATTTTGATCCTACGTACTATCTATTGAATTTCAAGATTCTCAAGAAAAAGAAAACAGATTGGAACAGACAGATATATTAGAAATAGCAACAGGATCACCACTACGAAAGAAACAACGTGTTCGGCAAAAAAATAAAAAACCATCGACCAAGCTCATGCATCAGCAGGTATATTCTATGTCTTTTTACTCACTTGGTTTATATTGATATGTTTAGTTTACTGCCGATCTCAACATTGTGGAAGTTAAGTTTCAACTCGGCACTGGATCAACCACACGCCCTGTCATAGCTCTATGCCTGTCAAAAATATACGCACAATTCCAAGATTGGTCATCCAATGTAATGTATTGTATATTTACGTATTAAGATTTGTGTAATCAACATTCGTATAGCTATCTGTTTCTTCATCGATTCAAATTGAATTAGCTTTATTCAACGATCATCTACTTGCTTGGGAACCATTGATCGAACCAATTGTTGATCCACGCGGTCAAATTGTATCGCCTTGGTCAATCAAATGCCATACTAAACATGTAGATTACATTTGAAAAGGATCTAATTACTTTGTTTATCATTTCTTTAAAGGATGACGAAATTGATGAAATCGAACTCGAGACATTGCTTAATGAAGAAAAATCGTTAAACTGCAAAGCTGAAAGTGAACGTCTGACACATTTTGACATACAGAATACTGTATTCATTCGAGCGGATCATTTATTGAATGTCACTCTGACGAAGACAAGTATCATCCTTGCTCAACATCTATTCACAATGTTAGGTGACGTATATAAGAACGAATATGCAGCGATAGAACATGATGATCGATCGATCTTGTCAATACACAATCAAACCGGTTATCACATTAGTATTGGAAAATTTATTGGTATCAAATTCATTGAAAATAATCATTCGGATGAAGATGTTTATCTGCGTGACAAAGAATCGATTAAATTAACTGTATCTGCTGATCGTCTCAGTGCAACTCATCTCCCAGCTATTTCTGAGCAAATCGACAAACGAAAACAGGAATTTTCTGTTGAAGTAAGCAAACTCTTCGTCGAAAACTTCTTCTTTTTCTAGAGAGAAAGTGTTCTCATTCAGATTGAAGGTAAAATAATTCAAATAGACATCAATCAAACCTGGAGACGAGTCTATGAGATCGATGCGTCGTCAATACCAAATTGGCCAATTCAGTTACTTTGCGACTCACAGATTCACGAAGATCGTCGACGAATTGTTCTCAGCTCGATTATCAAAGTAAGAGCATTCTTATTACCAACGAGATGAATAAGTATCGATGAATCTTAAAGGTAACCAACCTAACAATAATGCCTTTAATTCTTCTGGATCCAGAGACAGTTGAAACAAAGAAATTTCACCGTATAGCTCGCATCGATGTCAATCAAGAATTCTATGTGCCCATTCAATTTCTGTATCTTCGAATGAGCCCACGCTTATATTTTACGATTGATACTGATGATTCTAACGATGAAGTCTATGATTTTATGTCGTTTGAATGGGCAATTGAACCAAGCAGTGATCGAGTGCTGAAACGACCGGACGGCAGTCAAGTTAATTATGTGGTATGATGAGCTTTCGTAGATGAACTCAAAAATTTGTTGTTCTGTAGATACATAAGGAATCGATTGAAGCCTATTCAGAGAACACTGATGAACCTATTCGTAATTCATTCAACATCTGTGTTCAATTAGCTCTTCATCTAATTAACTTTCTACCAATACTTATTCAATGTCGAATCGACGTCAGTTACCTCACGTTTATCCTTTGCACTCTTTCTTTGTATTCTCATTTCCTTTAGAATTCTAACCAGATCGAATTGAGACCAAGTGAATTATGTCACGTGCCAATTGGAAATAAAAAATCCGTCCTCGTTTTCATAGTACTATCCTTTTTCCTCACATGATGATTGACTTACCTTTGACAATTGATTAGATTCCCTCCTACAAGAATACCAAATGGATATCCGAATCGGTCGACCTGAAGAACGAAGGTGATGGAAATCACAATGAACATCTGATCATATTTCATGACGATACACCAAATCAAATCTTAGTCAGTTGAGCCTCTTTGTTCATAGTCGAATAAAGTGCTTTATATTATTTGAAGAGAATGATATTGCGTGTTGAAATCTGTCGTCATTCATATCGCGCTTCGTTCTATTGTCCATACTGGATTGTAAATACAACTGATCTCCAATTCCAAATCAAGGTATTTGGATTGTCGAGTAGGCTTTGTGTTTGACATGATCGTTTAGATTGAACATGAGAAAATCTTTATTGATGAAACCGATCAAACACATCTTGTCTGTCCACGAAAGATTCACGGTGAATCGCATAAAAAGAAAGTGAGTGTTTAGTAAGCCAAACTTCGATTACAAATTCCTTATTTTCAAGGCACACATTCGTTTGTATGATGACAAAGAAGATGAAAGTATTTCTCATTGGTCCGAAAGTTTCTCCATCAATGTTATCAAAAGTACTGGTATGACCACTTGTAAAGTTTCGAATGATCGACTTTATACAGTAAGCAGAATACCGAAAGTAATCCGATTAGTTTTTTTTGTGAAACAGGTTTGTATCAACATTGAAACCTGTTCGTTCGGTATGTCGAAAATCATCACCATTGCTCCATCAATATTCGTTATCAACAATTCATCCGTAGGAAACCGTTTTCTTCGAGAAGTTTGATTCGAAACTATCTGACTTTAGATCGAACTTGAAATTATCGAAATGTTGAATGGTAACGAACAAGATAAATGGAAATCTCTCAAAGCTGAACAAGTATTTCTCCTTGTTTTCGAACATATTCGACAGAAATCGTTTTTAGGTAATTCCATTTTGGCCACACCAGATAAAAGACGACATGCTGTGCGTACGTTATGTACACAATCAAGAAGCATTGGCGTGTATTCCGATCAGTAATAAATATCGAACGTTATTGCGTATGAACGATGAACGGTATCCGGCGATCGATGTTCAAATTCATATAACAGATTTCGATGGATATCGAATTGTTTTTTCGGATTATAAGACAGGAGATGCGCCAATTTTGCTTGTGAATACGTTAATTGACCAGTCGATTACATTTTCTCAAAAAGGAGATTCGTAAGAAGCCACACTCTTCTTTTTTTCTCTTTTAAATACAGTTTTTCGATTAGACAAGCACAGGTATTACCATCTCAACATTATCTCTATTACACTTGGAATGATCCGTTCAAGCCATATGAATTAACCATTTCTGCCGATACGGAAAGTGTAACAATCGAACTTCATGTAAGTAAATAGTTCCTATCTTAAGTTCAGCTCATCGTATTATTTCGAAGCCAACCTATGGCGTGTTAGACCAAAAGATTCATTACGCCGTATTTCACGATGGTCCACAAACTGTTCTGTTATTCTCTTCTGATACATCCATCATTGAATCAGTAACTGATGTAGGAAAACTTTCTCATTCAAGGAACATTCCAGCATGATTTTCATCTTCTAGACTTCACTTGTGGAAGAGCCAATTCGCAATTACATCCAGTTAATTGTTCATAGTATTGGCGTATCGATCATCAATGACATCACTCGCGATGATTTATTATATGTAACAATCAATCCATCTAAAGATATCTGGACAACAAAGCATAAATACGACCTCGAACCTGTTCCAGCGCCGCTTAATCTCCATTTAGAGGAAAACTATACAACGTATATCAAACATCGATATGATCAACATCCAATCAGAAGGGAAATCCGTGAAGATCGATACACAATCGATAATAATCTCGTAAGACAAATAATATGTCACTTAGCTGTGCAATTCAATTTAAAATACGTAGGTTGTCTCATTCGATGAAAATATTGGTGAAGTAAGCGATGAACACGGTCGTTCCGTTCATGTTATACGTCAGAAACTTGATGCACTGTGGATTGGTTACGCATGGTCCAAAAGTAATGTTATCGTTCATGCACGAGTTCAACATATTCAAGCTGATAACCAACTGAGTTGTACACTATTTCCAACGCTCGTTTATCCGATTGCTTCGAAAACAAATGCGATAACATATCTAAGTGACAAACCATTGATTGAATTGAGTTTGTTCAAAAGTCAATCGATCAGATCGAATACGATTGATATAAGGTACTGCAATCTTCACGATATGAGTTGTTTTTAATTGTTTTTTATTCAGATATTTTAAAATATTAATCCAAGAATTCGCTCTTTGTGCTGATCAAGGTTTTATCTTAGCTTTATTTGAATTTTTCAAGCTCAATCAGGTTCTCCTCCCTTTCATCGATTAAGTTTTCTATTTCATCATTCTTTAGAATCCTCTTCCACCTAAGATTAACATGAACCGAGACATCACTCTTCTACACAAACCCCTGGAATCTTTCGTCAAAGCTGATACATACAAATCGTCATCTGAGACCCTCATCTACTTCGATCATCTGCATTTATCTCCTTTAAAAGTAAAGATCATAGTAAATCTCTCGTCAAAAGATGAAACTAATATTCGTTGTCAAAGATTCACGTTAGTTTTACAATGCACGGTTCGAAGCCAGATAAACAACTACTTGCCGAGTATCCACTAGCCGACTTTCTCTTGCAAATTTTAAATCTTGCCGAAGTTCAAGATGTAACGTTGAAGTAAGTTGTTAGGAGATGATTAGAATGCATAAAACGAAATGGAAATGATTTAGATTGAATTTTTATGAGCGACAAAATGATCGGTACACGATTGAAAAACTACGAAAGGAGATTTTCAAACATTATGAACATCAATTTTTCGAACAAATTCATGTGGTGATTCTCGGTCTTGATGTTTTGGGCAATCCATTTGGGATGATCCGAGGAGTTGCACATGGCGTTGAATCCTTCTTCTATGAGCCCTATGAAGTAAATAGAATCATTTTTCTTGGCATTCGATGATTCTCTCTTCTTCAGGGCGCTATGGCAGGTTCAAAAGAGTTCATCCTCGGAGTTCGGCATGGTACCCGCAAATTAGTGGGCTCAGTCATTGGTGGAACTGCCGGTGCTCTTTCGAAAGTTACCGATGCAGCCAGTAAAAGTTTAGCAACATTAACATTCGATAAAGAATATAAGAATATTCGAATCAAGCGAAAGGAACTAGATGGAACAACATCTTCACATATTCTCTCAAGTGGAAGACATACTGCTAGGGTTTCAACTTTCCTAATCGATCGTATTTTCTTCGTTAACATAGTTTCAATTTAGGATATCGTGACAAGTGTCAAAGATCTTGTTAAGAAACCAATTGAAGGTGCGAAGGAACATGGGCATGAAGGTTTTGCTAAGGGCGTGGGAAAGAGTATGATTGGTCTTGTTGCTAAACCAACGAGTGGAGTTGCTGATTTGACCAGTACATCATTAAATTCGTTGAAAAGAGCTGCAACGCATGAACAAGTCATTCGTCGTATTCGCCCACCACGGCATATTGGTCGTGATGGAATTGTCCGTCCGTCGATTGCACACGAAAAATTAGGAAATTTTATGTTTGATGTAAGTGAGATGATTACAGCTGATTGAAACTGATTTATTTTTAGAACATCGATTTCGAAAATTCAGAAGATTATCTTGCACATATTCGTTGCTTTGATCAGCTGGAAAGTTATTTCTTCGCAACAACAAAGTATGCCTGATAGTTCTAGATTGAGAGAGATAGAGACAGAAATGAAGAATATGAAATATTTAGACGAATTTTATTGATGAACGAAACGTTTTCATCAACGAGAGTTTATGAGATAACATGGACATGTTATTATAAACAAATTAAAAATTTACCTCAAGTGAAATTCAACCCGAATCATATTGAAATCAATTATCGAGTGAGTCAGATTATTGAAAGATGATTTCGCTTTTTGAGAAATGTTCTGTAGGATATTAACAAGCTTCACATGACGAAACACGATGAAGTGCACACGAAATTAGTTCCGTACCAGATGGTCGGCGAAGCTCGGGTATTTTAACATAGTTCTTTTAAAAACTACTATTCTCATTTCTTGTTTTCTCACAGTATATCGTCGATAGAATCATCGAAACGATGCATACATTACAAGTTTAAATATTCGAAGACATTTTTCTTTTGTGTCAAATTTCTAAAACCTTAATCTGGCTAATAAAAATGAATAAATATTGTTTTGACTTATGAAGAAAAGCATAGCGAGTAGATGTGCACAAAACCTCAGCACTCTAAACGACCTGAATTTAATATCTGCTTTCTCTAAAGAATTCCTAGATCAGCATAGTATTTGTTGACAGACTTTGGAGGATTAGAGTAGACAAATATTTTGTCGGGTGATACACTCAATCCAGACAGCAATTTGTATATCTACGTATAGTTTTTGTTTTTGAAAGAAGTTTTGAGAAATATCACCATGCACTATTGCTTCTTAAATTTGCAACTGGTCTGCTTTCTTAGTCTATTCTACGGCGGACTTTGTGAATTGCAGACTTCGTGTAAGTGGAAGATTTTCAGTTCTCGTCTTGATAATTGAATTAATGTTCTTTCTTTCACAGGTCAAAGCGGAAAAGTATACATGGGATGGTGTCAATATAATCCCAATTACACAAATGCGTCGGCCTACGCTCATTGTATTAAACGATATGTTGTTCAAGCGGTTTTATTCAAACGGCCTTTTTCACTAACACCTTCAGTCGTCCATCTCGGATTGTCGCAATTAGATATTCGGTAAGCTCTTTGCTATGGCTATTGGGATGTTCAATATACCGAAATTGCTATTCTTGCCTGTAGAAGTAACGATCACGATGTTAGACTTGAAGTGTCTGCACAATCGATTACGCCTTATGGATTCAATGTTCACTTCAGTTCTTGGGCCGACTCGATCACCCATAATGCAGGTGTCAATTGGCTAGCATGTCTATAAATGTATGCTAGACTGTTGTTGAACAGAAATTAAAGAATAAAATATAATCCTTTCATTAATTTTTTTTGAAAGGAATTAAAATAAATGGAAGTATGAATAAGAAAACAGGTTAACACCGGCGACATCTTTTCTTCGAGCTAACTCAAGTTCGAAACGGGCATTCTCCGAGCCTTGCTCATCAACTGCGAATCGAAATGTAATATCAGTCGTGACGGTATGAGTGAAAGCAATACTTTTTAGGATGTATACGAAGGAAAAAAAATGAGATTATCATTGCCTTCTACCAGCAAATACTGGAAGCATTAGGGCATATTATTGTTCACTTTGTATAAAGTCGACTTTCTGCAATCTGAACTCATTGTTTTCTTAGCGTAATAACACACTGATGAAAAAAATGTTCAAATTCGCACTTGTTGAATCTATAAATACTTTAAAATGAAAGAGTTTTGGTAGTTTCATGCACTTCTATGTGAATAACGACTTTACTAGAAAATATCTATTTCTGTAACAAGCGAAGACAGAAAACTATACGCGATGACTATTGTACACATATATAATGCTCAAGTTTCAAAGCGCCCGACTACGTTTTTTGAATAAAACGCTTAGAATTCATATAGTCTATTTTAAAATCAAGGCATACTAGGAGATACAACGTCAAAAGCTCTGCCAATTACGCTAAAAACCTTATTTTATCAATGCGTGGTTTTTTCAAAATAAGCAATATGTTTCCCCATAACTATTCGACGTTTTGCAGCTATTTTGATCAAACACTGTCTATATAGCATCAAACAACACTGAGACACGTCTCAATATCACCTATATGCAGTGCACTTGCAAGGCTTTGCCCATGTCTGCCATCGGATGGTACTGCTTTCGAAGTAATAATATATGTCAACTATTCCACAGGTGATACTGGATTAACAAGTCTCACGAATGTAACTTTCAAGTTTCAACAATTTCCACCACAACAGTTGCAATGGCTACATCAAACGATCAGATGACAACATTGGGTACGTGTGAAGATTTCCTATAGATAGAAGTATGCTTTTTGTGCGTAACGAAGAAAATAGACTCTTAGAATGTGTTTTCAATTTCTTAGATGTCATTTTTTAATGGGAAGTATCTGCAATAACTACGAGTAATACATGTGGGAATGAGCATCGTAAAGATCGAGTTGAAGAGCGCTTCAAATGGTCGTAGATGACAAAAATAAATCTTAAGTAGTATATTTATCCTTTAGGAAAATTGATGTGGGTTTGAAGTTCGTTCCGATTTTTTAATTTAATTCCTATATTTTTGTGATACTTTACATGAGAAAGAATAAACATCTATTTTGCAATCAAAACGTTCTAGTTTCATTCTATAATCACAAGTTAAACATGTCAGTTCTATTTTTTAGTAGAAACAACAGAAACTTCACGTTCTCTTTTGAATAACATCGGTCCAGGATTCACTAGAGAACATGAAAAGTAGATCAATGAAAATTTTGATAGTTCCTCACTCGTAAATGGTTGGACAGCAGGATATATTGGTATGTGTTTGTATAACTATCGAGTAACGACAAGCAAATATTATTCGCCGAACAAATCATACTATACTTCATGTATATTTGGGTTTTCCTGGATTTTTCAATCCTTCATCGCTTCTTCTAGAAAACTATATAGCATTAGTTTTCGACTTTACTTGAACGAGGTCTTCTCGCTACCTATTTATGGTATTGCACAAGTGGGTCTTCTATTCTGTAAATTTGTCTTGTGATGTAGACTCTTATGATATAAACAAGCTTCTTGATGATACTTACTGACGAGGCAAATTTTGCTTTTGTAGATGTTAGATCTGCTCCCCTCTCACAGAGAAGAACCAGGCAAAAGGCAAAGTTGACGGTTCTACCTCCTTGAAAGTGTATGTCATCCATCAGAATGAGCATGATAAGGGAAAAGAACAGTTTACATTTTATGTTACCGGATGTTGGTATTATACGCAAATATCATCATCATTGTACATTCTACGTATGATAGAAATCTTAACACAGAGAAATGTGATAAAAAGGGAAGGTCTATGAGTACAAAACATTGCAAGATATCCTTTGTCTCAAGCAAAACGCGTGATTGGAAACCAGTATCCGAAAATATCTGGTTCAAAAATAGCAACGTCAACAATGGAGATCTCGTGTCGACTTGAGTAACATTATCTATTCTGCCTAAATAAGTAATTTAAGGACGTATGAGTGAAAAAGAAGTAATCTTAGCGTACATCATCACCACCTCAAACAACCTTATGAAAAATAACGTATTAAACAACAACACAAAGTTCATGATCTATGATATTCTTACAGCCATCTCTTACTTTTTATCGAAAGGTTTTAAAAAATGTTCATCCCTATAATCATGACTTGAAGAAAAAACGTTTCACGGCGAAACTCTTTAAGTCTACAAGTACTTCAATGGACAGAACCTTCGACACATTCAGGTACTTTTACACGAGTTATGATTCTCCGAGAAAGAACGTACTTTCCCATGTACTTTTCCGTTTATGGAGTGTTCTGCTTGTGATTAGTAAAAGCTCTCGAAACGCTATTTTCAAGACCCCTTCTCCATAAATTTATCACGGGGATTTTTAATTGATTTTGGAGTGTGATATATAATTTGCATTCCATAGAATAGCTTCGCTGTCTTACTGACATATTGTTCTCACACTGTACACAATTACATTATCGCTTAATCATTTTTACTGCGATGTATTTTAACCGACAGACAGACATTCTTTTCGTATTCTCATTCATGTTTTCTCATATATATTCTGTTCGTGTCGGGTCGATATCAGACACTGTCTACATAGCATCAAACAACACTGACACATATCTCAATATCACCTGTATGCAGTGCACCTGCAAGGCTTTGACCATGTCTGCCATCGGATGGAACTGCATTCGAAGTAATAATACATGTCAGCTATTCTACAACTATTTCACAGGTGATACTGGATTAACAAGTCTCACGAATATAACTTTCAAGTTTCAACAATTTCCAAATCGATCACTCTCGACCACAAAAACAGTTGCAATGGTTACATCAAACGATCAGATGACAACATTGGGTACGTGTGAAGATTTCCTATAGATAGAAGTATGCCTTTTGTGTATGACGAAGAAAATAGACTCTAAGAATCTATTTTCAATGGCATATTTCCATAGAGTGAGTTAGAATCAAAGAATAGTTCATATCGTCGTAGAAAGTAAGAATAAATCACCAACTAAGATGTAAGTAGTGTATCTGTGTTTATGGAACATCCATCTAGATTCAATCAAAGACGAACATGTACTCCCTACCTCATTACTGTTCTGCTCTAGTTTTGGATTGCTAAATAAAAGTGATGTTTTTATTCGTTTTAGGAGAAACAACTCAAGCGCCAAGTTCCCTATTGTGTAATATCACTACTGCTTCCTTACCATCGAATAATTGGACGCTATTTACAACTACTTATCGAGGTACACATGCAGGCAATACATCACTTATATTTTATTTCGTAGCAAGTCCATCCTACAACTGGTATTTCGATGATGCATCGGTTAAGGATTCAGTAGGGAATGAAAAATTCATCAATGGAAATTTCGACAATTCGACAACATTAGTCGGTTGGACAGACGGATACAATGGAGTATGCTCATATAACTACGGACTGACTACGAGTAATTATTACTCAGCAAATACGTCGTATTACGATTCTTGTACATTGGGAGTAATCTGGATTTCTCAGAATTTCATTGGTTCTGTAGGAGAACTGTATAATATTAGTTTTCGACTTTATCTGAATAAGGTTTCTTCACCATCATCATTTGATATTGCTCAAATGAATCTTTCTATTGTATAGCTGCTTTTCTAGTATAAAATCTGGTAATAAAAATAAAAGACGCCATGCGTTGGAAATATCGTTGTAAAAAGAATTCTTTCCTGAAGCAGTATAAATATACATCATACACACTGTTTGCGCAAGATCATGTCGCTGAATCTTGATCATTTCTCTATCGCTCGACAAATGGCAAAGTGGTTCTCAGAAAAACATCGTCCTTGAATCGGTGTATCAGGCAATCATAATTATGTTCTGCTCATTGATTCGTCCAAATAAATCCTTTTGAAGTGTTCCTATTCATTCGTTGACTTCGTAGAGAATAAAGCTGTATCCGGAAGAAATTTCTTAACTAGTTTTTTCGCTTTCATACACTCATCTATAAGAACGTACAAGATTTTTAAGGCTGTTTTTTCTTGCCAATAGACGCACTCTGGCAGTCATGATCCAACACAGAATGAATATAACACGTGTACGGCGTCAATTAATAGAACTAAATGCCTCATACATATGCTGATGGAAACAACAATGAAATGTTTGTGACAATGAATGATGCTGATCTAGATACTGAATCAAATGGATTAAAAACAGTGAACAGTGTCCTTAAAGACGGCAGTGATCTGTTAGGTGCACCAGCCAGATTTATTAATAATATCCAAAAAGATTGGTTAACTACTGTTATTCTAATTTGCATTCTATGCTTATACTGTATTATTCAACATCATTGTTCTAATAAAACACGTCGTCGAACGGCACCATCCGAGGGTGAGGAGTCAGAATCGCCCCTAGTTTCAAATCACCGAATGATGAGAGGGCGAAAATGGTCATCAAGAGCTCTCCGTCGGTTATTTTGATCATGGTGAAGTACGATAAGAATCAATCCAATTTCTCGACATAAAATGTTGTGTCATAGGACAATTCGTGTACGAAGTAAACGAACCGTCCAGCAATGGAACATCAGTAAATGATATTTGTCTTTCTTTTAAATATTTGATTCCGAAACTTTCTCGTTAATAATCAATAAATGAATGCAAAGAAAATCTGTATAAACTGCGTAATACCTTAATGTTCGATTAAATCTTTTTTAAAATACTTTTTTCATCCTATAACGATATGCATTTCTTTCTATCGATAGCTTATCGTGTCAATAGACACTCAGACGCCGTTATCGAGAACATGCATTTGCGCAAAGGTAGCATCTTCCTTTTCCTATCAATACTGCTGAGAACCTGCATTGGACAACAAACAGCGGATAAGCAAGCCGATGTTACAACCAAACAAGTTCTTCAATACATAACAAATCTGTCCAAGCAAGGTACTGGAAGGCGAAAATGTCTTATCATTGAACGTATGATAACTTTGTAGGGAAGTATCTGTCGGGTCAATATATTGGTATAAGTAAACCGAATATGTCGATGTCATTGATTACGAATATCACAGCTGAAGCAGGTCAAGTTCCGGGTATCTTTGAATGTGATTATGCAAATGGGTTTTGGTCGACGACTCCACCACAAAAACTGCTTGATCATTCTTGTAATTCGATATTGAAAGACAATTGGAATAAGGGTGGTCTGATCAATATATGTGCACATTTTCCAAATCCTGTGTCTCCGAATGGTGGTGAACTACGAAACAAATCGAATCTGGTTTTCAACGATCTTTTGTATCTTGGCGAATTCAAATATGACAGCTTTGTTTCGTCCATTCCAGGAAGCGAATGGAGCATGGTTTTGGTGGGGAAGGCAAGTAAGGATATGAAGACTTTGTCGTAGCTTTCTGCCTATATTTAAATACCTCATCGCGCAGGATCCAACGTTATTCAAAAATGTTTGGATCCATATGTTTAATTATTTGACGCAAGTCAAAGATTTACATAATATCTTGTGGATCTATTCACCGGACCAAGGTGCGCCAACTCCGTCACTGTACTATCCAGGTAGTGCCTACGTGGATATTGTTGGACTCGATGTTTATACTGATGAACCTGTAAACAAATTGTTTCCTTTTGAGTAATATACACATGAGATTATCTGAATTTGTAGAAATAGTTTGAAGGGATATGATGAAATGTTAGCTTTGAATAAGCCAATGATTCTTGGTGAAGTTGGTCCAAGAACCACTGATGGTCAATTCGATTTCAGTCTATGGTTAGAAAACGTGTTTTCTTTTCAAAAGTAATGAATTTAACTTTATTTTAGGCCAACTGCGATTCGAAATAAATATCCGAAAGTGTCTTATTTACTAACATGGGCCGGCCCTTGGTCACCAGTAGCCAATAGAAATGCTTATAATTTATTCAATAACGCATACGTCATCAATCGTGGCGGTATCAATATAACTGATACCATGTTTTTTGTTTAAATAAAAGTTCGACGAGTGTAACTGAAGGTAGAATCATCTTCGTCTTTATTATTCTCATTCACACCTTCAGAAAGGCGTCACGATGAAACTAGCCAATGGATGCATAGTGCATATCATCGAGAGAAATTAATATAATTAAAAGGAAAAGGAAAAGGATAAAACATCAATGATGCGCACGAGAGGAGACAGAATAGAAAAAAAGAAGTGTATGACAGCATACGCCCTTTTCTCCTTTCAACAACGTTATTCATATTTATACGCGCGCGCGTCATACGGTCACAAGATAAATACATTATCATTGAACAAAGAATCTTTCTACTGCAGGGTTGAACAGGTACTTTTGTGTACGAATATACAAGCATATCCTTGTCAAACAATGCACGATAATTTTCAAAAGTTAGCGGTTGAATTTGGCGAGCAATCTCTTACTAACAATGAAGTTACCTTTCATGCACAACAAATCGCCACGTTTTTAGTAGAGAACTACAATCTTAATTCGAAAGATGTCGTGTATCTATACGTTGAAAATGATCTGCCGAAGGTATGTCGACATGTAACTATCGAAATTTTTTTTCAAGTTTTCATTAGGTAATCGGAACTAAATCAATCGAGTTGACGGGTGCTGTTTGTCAATCTCTTTCGTCTCCAGATTCTTCTCCTCAAAATAGCTTAGTCCTGGTTGATTGGTTAACGCAAAATAAAATCAAAGATAATGTGATTACATTAAGTATCGATCGAATGATTCACACTGGATGTAAATCGTCAAGGAACGAAGAAATACGAAGTATAGAGCCGAACTTATTTCAAAATACCGCCACTAAACTCTGCATACCAAAGATCAATGATGATTCGATCATTCTCCTCGATGAGCACGAGAATATTATCTTTCGAAGCAAATATTCATGCAGTGAGATAATCCATCATATTAGAGATTGGGACAATCTAGTCGAACTCTTCGCTGATGACTTGCACGCAGATACGATTTGCAACGACATTTCTCGATATATTACCGAAAGTATCAAAAAGCTAACACCATATTACACTACACAAATCATGTTAAAGCTTTGCATGTACCGTCAAAAGTACATCGATAATTTGCTACAACAACTAATGGACTTCTTTCCGTATAGATTAATTATTCAGAACGATTCCGGGAGTAAAGATCCGGAATCTGATTATGATATTCGTATTGGTTCAACTGATGGTAGCGATGCGGACATTGATGCATGTATGATATTCAATGAATTCTTCTCTCAACATTGGTCTTTACCATCGGGAATTGTATTTGATACGAATCTGTATCCGAGACATTTGAATACCGTCGAGCCAATATTTAATGTACAAGGAACTGGACTAGGCATATTTATGACCATACGATGTGATTATCCATATTATTTCTTTACGGAGGTCAATGATTATAAGCAGAATAAAATGTCGATAATCAAATTACGAAAGTCAATGACTGGAAACGAATGGCAAGATTATGTATATAGAGTAACGAAAGCGGATTCCTCATTGAGAGAATTTTTCTATCGCGCTGATACAACATATTGGAAATATACGAAAAAATTACTCACACAGATATCTAAACCAAGTAAGTTAATTCGCGATACATTAAACGAAATCGCGAATATTGTACCAACCATCAAAACGGATCGATACGATACGACGAGATTCGAATCTTTATGGTCGAAAGTTCATGGTCGCATGCGACCTGTCCTAATGGAACACAGCAGCATCTTGTTTATATCATATCTCCGTCAAGCTCGTAATCTCGAACGCGAAATTCGAAACCGAAAAGATCGATACGACAATTCGTTTTTGCATCCGATCCTCTGCATACCCCCGAGTGAAATGGCATATATCGACGCGCTGACTGTCTCCATGCGGCATAAATTCTCCAAAGCCATTTATTTTGCGAACGATGCGTGCGTCGCCGAAGGTTCAATGTATTACGTCAGTGTCGAACAGTACAACAATCATGTTGACGTATCCTATGTAAAGGATAAAACATTACGAACAAATCTTTTAACGAATAATCAATTGTACCAATCCATGAATGAACAATACGGAAATTTTCTGAAGTATATCAAAAGTTACTCGAACAAGCAGGTTCATAATGGACGGACGATCTATCGAAGCAGCAAATATTTGTATCGACTAGTTAATACGATGATAGATTTAGGTGCAAATCAATGGAATCGAATGGGCTTTGATAATGATCAGCACGGGAAAAGATTAGGATTGCTGGTGAAGGAATGTTTATTGTGTATTCGGAAATATAAATATCCATATAATGAAATGAATTCCAATGATCGTGCGGAGATAAGTGAATATTTTGCATTAGGGATATTTCCAATTGATCGGCAACTACAAACATTTTGGAAATACCGAAGATTAACACTGGATAGATCATCGGAATTGTACAAATATCGAAGTTATACATGGGAAAGCATGAGAACACCACCTTTTCAATCAAAAATTCAAGATTTATTAATTGAAGATATCAGAAACAAGAAATTCGATGGCATATCATCTCTTAAACAGACGAACTGTTCAATACTTGACCAATTTACATCAGCAGTTTATCAACTCGTCATTGATTCTCACGATAAAATCTATTACAGCTATTTCCGCGGTATCTTCG